AGTTTGTATTTTCTGTCCAAAGAAATATATGTGATCACCCCAGAGACCTTCTCCACCATAGCGGTAGTAGGATTAATGGTCTATGTCATTAAAAAATATGGTGCTTCTATTGGAGAATTTACTAATAAGCTGAATGAGCAAAAAATTGCTCAGCTAGAAGAAGTAAAGCAGGCAAGCATCAAACAAATCCAGGATGCAATTGATGGAGAGAAGAAATAGCTGGTTCAGAAGCACCACTACCTTGTTGGCGTTCAGAGGAATAACATTGCCATGGCCTTGGAAGTCACTTACCAGGAGCGGCTACATAGAGTATATAAGGAGGTGAAGAATTGCCTGAACTATCATATTTCCATGCAGGATATGATACATCGAAAGGAGCAAGAACACACAATAGACTGGGTGGAGAAGCAGGTGGTGCAGAGCATCTCTGCGCAGTAGGAAAAAGAGACAATTACCAAGTGCATCCAAGATCTGAAGCTGCTCGCAAAGAAGGCTCAAGCACAGCCTGTGATGTAGATGTATCTATCGCAATTGAGACAGCCAGAAACAGTTAACTAATGGAAATTTGTCTGTGTGACAGTTTTTCTGTATTGCTGTCCATTGAAATTAGTGTACCTTTCCTAAGACATGTTCAAAGTTCGTTTACTGAATTAAATCTATTGGCCAGTCAGATATTTCTGATCCTTACTCTGTAATTTGGACTTGGTGCCTAAAATCACCAAGTTATAGTTTAAATTTATAATTAATTATACTGTCTTGCAATAAAGTGAGAATTGAAGCAAAAAAATTATAAATTTTAATTAGCTTTTATTATAGTATGTTGTTATGATTGTTCTATTTTATAGTTAGTTATTATTAATCTTTTATTGTGCCAAGTTCATAAATTGAACTTGATTATAGGTATGCATGTGTAGGAAAAAAAAGTATATATAGAGTTTGATACTATGTCTGGTTTGGGAACTTACTGAAGGTCTTGGGCCATCTTCCCTGCAGATAAGGGAAGGACTACTATGTTATTAACTTCAAAGACCATTCAGGGCCAATTAGCGATCCCAAGCTTGGAATTACTATCTAACATCATGCTGCTTGCTCACAAGCACTTGCACTTGTCAGGGCCCTGGGGGAACAAACTTCACTCTAGATGTACCACCCAGGACCTCTGTCCATTCCTCTCTCTCCTCATTAAGAGCTTTCATAGAGCATAGGACAATTAATAGCCATGTTTATATAAGTCATTTCAAGAATAAAGTGATGATACTCATTATTCCATGTTGCCTACGAATGAAACATGGCTTTGAACCGAAAGTGAATTTAACAAGATATCAATGATAGTAAAGAATTTAGATTGAAGTTTTTCCAAATAAAATAGCAGCAGAGGAATTTAACGCATTAAAAACCATTTCTCTTTCTAACTGGGTAAGATTTACCATGTTCCCTGAAGCTAGACACACTCAAAGCAAACCATGAACACAGCCAGCTCAAGATTTTCACTTCATAGCTCACTTAGAAAATGATTGACTGAGGGAGTCATTTGCTAGAGGTCTGTGGCCTCCAGTCTGAGGAAATCAGACTCTTGGCATATCTAAAACCTGTCTGGGGGCTGTAGAGATGGCTTAAGAGCACTGACTTCTCTTGCAGAGGACCCAGGTTCAATTCCCAGCACCCACATGGCAGCTACAAACCGTCCTTAACTTCAGTTCCAGGGAAATCCAAAGCCCTCTTTTGACCTCCATGGCATTGCACTCACATACATGCAGGCAATACACTCATACACATAAAATAAAAATAATAAATAAAATATTTAAAAAAGAACCTGTCTGTAGTTTACCAGTTAGGAAGCTCCAAATTAACTGTAGATAATTAACTAGAATATTAAATTCTCATGGTTATCTTAATAATTGACCACTAAAGAATCAATAAAAGTCCACTCCTATTTCTGACCAGTGTGGGGAGGGATTCAGAGATTATATCTTTAAATGTGAGTGAAAACTTCGAGATCCATTCATTTTAGTGCCTTGCCTGTAGAAGTCCATAGTATGAACAGGTATCTGATGACTGGTGGTTATGGGGTTTATTCTCTGGGAGGCTTGTACCTCTTTATTCTCCTGGGCTCAGATAAAGTCTTCTTGAGTCATCCTTTCAGGGTAAGCAGACGTGAGAGAGGTGCTAGTCTTTGTACCTAGTCACTAGGCAACTGGACAGGCCAGGAGAAGGATTGCCTGGAATTAAACTTTATATCTGTCTGCTGAGTTGGCCAAGCACATTGCCCACACCAACCACAGCAAAGTTACATGGGTTAGAAACGTGCCAGGCTAAGACACCAGGCAGAATGCCCAGACTTAGCCTTCCTAGTGATAAACTCAGAGAACTAGCTGCTTTGCCCTGCTTGAGAGCTTAGCTGCATCTGCCTCAGACCACCCCAGTGGGAGGCAGAGATCCTGCCCCTGACTCTTTACAGCTCTCTTCCCACCCTCCCTGAAAATGAACTTAGTCTTTGCTTCTGACCAGGCTCAGAGTCTCCCAGGTTGTGGAGAGTCCATTTGCACTTCAGGGATAGGGGTAGGAGAGGAAGGCTGTTCTCCTCTGCATGCGCCACATGCTGAATCAATGTCCCTCTTTGGGACACTGTTGAAGGCAGAGTCAGAAAAGCACACCTGAAGTTTCTCCCACTCAAGGCTGAACCATGAAAGGAAATGCTTACTGAGTCTAATTGTCCTCAGCCCAGATGAGACAAATTGAGGGGTTTTCATAGTAGTGTTACCTAAGTACCAGCCCTTGTTAGGGATGAGACCTCAGATGCTCTCCCTCTTATTACCTAAGCAGAGTCAGACCCATAATTAGATACTGAAATTCACTTTATGGTAGAAAATGGTGACTGTGCAAATGTTGGTTGTGCCATTAGAATGTGTTTCAAGTTTGGAAAGCTGCATCTTCCTCTTCCACATTGGCTTGGCGTGTACTTGGTATTTCTTGACCTCCTGGAGATTAAGAACAAAGCTTATGGACACACTTCCTCCAGGAGCTTGGATTGGGCCCAGGTCTGAGCTTGCAAGCAGTGTTCCTTTGCATTGCCTTTAGGATTGCCTGGCCGAGGTGGAGGCAGGGCTCAAACCCCAAAGTTTAACCAGAACAGTCCCTCTTTTATTGAATATATTTGGCTAGTGAGCAGGTTTTTATTTGAGGAAAGGATCCCAAGGCTAAAAAAATGTTCTGAAAACCACTGCCTCAGACCACAGTGATGCTGTGAATATCTATCTGTACATGCATATTCTGTTTCCAGAAACCTTTCTGTCCTCTTTTTTCTTTACTGGAATTTTTTTAAATTGTAAGTCAAACAATATGAGGTCTAGCCAAAATAGGCCCAACGTGTCTCCCCTCGCTCCCTTTCCTGTTCCTCTCCTCAGAGGGCAGCCAGCCTTGACAGGTCGATAGCTATGCTACATGCCTGTCTGTCACTGTTGATAACCTTTAACATTTTGGTGCAAAAAAGATCCCACGAAAATTGAATCATGCAAAACTAGAAGTTAGGATAATTAACCCCTGTGTTCCCATCACTCACCTCCAATAATTATCAAAGATTTTACAGTGCTTCTTTGACCTAATTCTCAAATAGTTTTATCTTACAAAATGGCATTATAGTACATGTACTAATTGGCAACCTGTTTTTCACTTCATAATTTATCTTTAAAATATTGCATATCAGGGACTGGAAAAATGCTTCAGTGATTAAGAGCACTGACTGCTCTTGACAGTAGACCTGGGTTTGGTTCCCAGCACCCACATGGCAGCTAACAACCACTGTAACTCCAGTTCCAGGGGATCTGTTGCCCTCTTCTAATCTCTTCGGGCATTACATGACATGGGTGCCCTTATATATATACACGCAGGCAATACACTCATACACATAAAATAAAAATAACAAATAAAATATTTAAAAATATTGCATATCAGCATATTGTCCTCCTTTTAATGACTATGAAATTTTCCATTATATGCTTGGAACATCATTTACCTAGACAGTCCTCAATTGTTGAACATATAGGCTGCTTTGAAACACCTTGCCACTCTACAAAATATTCAATAAATGTCCTTTTATATAAGTCTTCGTATATTGATGTATTTTAAAATGTCCTTCCTTCCTTCCTTCCTTCCTTCCTTCCTTCCTTCCTTCCTTCCTTCCTTCCTTTCCTTCTTTCTTCTTCTGTAAGGTAGATTTCAGAAAGTAGATCTTGGGGCCATAGGTGATGTGTATTTTAAGTTGTATTTAATACTAAGAAAATGTGTCATGAAAAGGTTGTGAACTCACAACTCCCCTCTAGCAACATTTGGATATGCCCATTTCTTTAGTTGTTTCCCAGCCTTGGATATAACTACTTGTTAGAAAATGTTAAATCAGAATCGACCAGGGCAATGTGAAAATGAAAGATGAGATCAACCTCAGGAGCAGATGGTTCTTTATTAAGAACAGTGAAGGTGGTGACAGTTTCTCAGAGGGATTTGAAACTGCACCCCCAGGCACAGTTGGTGGGCTGCGTGAGGATGGGGGATTAGGAAATGGGGATGGGGGTGGGAGTGTTGGGTAGGGCTAGTGCTGCTGAAAGGGTTTGGAGGTTTTGAGACAATAGGGGCTGTTATTTGTTTTCCCAGATAATACAGTCTCCAGGTTGGTGGCTTTACATAGTTCCTGGGTTGGAAATTAGCTTGGATCTGAGGTTTACTTAAGGTTTACTTAACCCGTATGGGGCCCTTTGGAGGTTAACTCTGGGCCCTTTTAAGTCCAGGCATTTATCTTTCACTTCTCATTGGAAATGTGAATCCTTTTTGTAAGCAGATGGCATAAAGTTGATATTTTATGTGTATCTGTGAATGTGTTTCTTTTCTGTATTGGTTTTATAAACAGCCATTTTGCATTATTTGGGGGAAGGTGGCCATTAGGAATATTCTGCATAGAGGGGAAGAGGGAGACTCACTATTGCTCTTTGTCCCCTTTGTTCTAACAGTTCTCCCAGAGAAAAGGTGCTGGAAGGGTGGTGCACATCTGCAATCTCCCTGAGGGCAGCTGTACTGAGAATGACGTCATTAACCTGGGGCTGCCCTTTGGGAAGGTCACAAATTACATCCTAATGAAGTCGACTAATCAGGTAGGCCTGGGCATATTCACTCTGTGGGGTCCAGGATGCAGCACGCAGTGGTGAAAGGGGAGCACAGACTTCCTTAAAAAAAGAAATTGTTCCTAACAGACAGAGGGGAAGCACGGTTGACTTCTGTTAGCTCAGCGCAGTGTACGTTGGGGCTGTTGTTTTGTCTCCTTTGGCTCTGCACTGCCTGCTTGTGCTGGGTACAGGTCTTTGTGAATTGTCTAGAAGGGAAATGGGTCACTTTAGTATGGGGTGCTTCATGAACATAGAAAACTTAATTGGCCTTCAAATGGAAATTGATGAACTCCCTGTCCTTGCCATGTTGTAAATCTTCTGAGCTAATACTATAGTAGAAGCTTCTGAGCTGATCACATCACATCTGATTGCCTGGGTGTGGAACCAGTCAAGAACTGCCCAGGAACTGATCTATTAACCAGTCCTTGGTGTTTGTGTGTGAGGCCTTTGATCCCCTAGCAAAAAAGTATAAGGGGATTGCTAAAGGCTTAGTAAGTCTAAGGACCTGAAATTGCTTAGCCTGTGGGAACTGGCTGAGCCCTTGAGACCTGACAAGCTTGATTTCTTTCTAAAGGGGCAGGGATTATACCACAAATGGTCATATATGGTGTGTGATGTGTGTGATATATACACGTGTGTATGCCAGGGTGTGCGTACCTGTGGACGCATCAGAGGATACCAGAGGAGGATGCTGGGTGCCCTATAACTTTTGAGACAGGATCTCACTGAACCTGGAGCTAGTCTGACAGTCAGCAAACTCCTACAATCCTCCTCTCTCTGCTCCCCACAGACCTGGTGTGTGCAGCCACACCTAACTTTTTTTTTTTTTTTTTTTTTTGGTCTCTTTGAGACAGGGTCTCCTGTAGCCCCAGCTGGCCTGGAACTCACTTATGTAGACCAGGCTGGCCTTGAATTCACAAGGGATCCACCTGCCTCTGCCTCCTGAGTGCTGGCACTACAGGTGTGCGTCACCACGCCCGGCTAACTCTTATGAATGTGCTGGGATCCACACTTAGGTCCTTATGCTTTTGTAGCAAGTGCTCTTATCCACTACGTCATCTCTACAGCCCACGTTGTCCTTATGTTAACAGCTATTTTTGCTTTATGAATCTGAGAAGTAGGCAGAGAAATTCTTTGCCCAGTGAAGATGTGAACTCTGAAAACTTGATGCCACAGCGGATCATCAGTGATCTCAGTCCCTCGGCCTAGAGATAGACTACTCACTGCTTGCATTCTTTCTCCTAGTACTATTCAGGGTCAATATACAAAGTCAGCTTGCAACATTAATGCATTGAGGCTGCCTACGTTATTTTCCCCATTTGAGAAGCAACAGTTAGAAGTGCTATATGCTTAAATCAAGCAAGAGACCTTAGAAAACTGGGTGGCACCATGGGAAATAAAACCCCAAAGAATCCTGACTTCTTCACCACACATTTCACATGACTGATGAAATAAAAATTAACCAATAAATGGGAAGGAGGAGGAAGCAATGAAAACGGGAGGATTAGGGGCTCACAATGAGAGGTCCCTCATTACAGGTCACTTAGGCCTCTGAATTGTCTAGAAGTTGCTTTGCTATGGGGTGCTCATTAACATAGAAAAGCTTAATGTCCCCCAAATAGAAATGCATGAACTAGAGTGTCTTTGCTATACTGTAAGCCTCAACATAGAAGGACCAACATCAGTACACATCAGTATGTGTATAAACCAAACAACCCAGGAAACCACAAAGCCATGAATTTGCCCCAGCAGCTGCTAGGTAAATGAAGTCCATCAACATAGTCTATTTAGAAATTCTGTAAACACAGATTGGATGGAAAAACCCATTTCTCTGTGTTTATCTGAAGAGTTAAATAAGAGGAAAGATGCCATGTAAATACGGTGGGGCGGGCTCCTTTTTCTAAGTCACAACAGCTTTGCCTTCCTTTGAACCTAGGGGCTTATGAGCCTCTGAGTTTTTTAACGTCTTTCTTTCTTCATGAGACAAGTGGGAACTCAAGTAACCCTACAGGCTTGGGCCTCTGTCCCCTGATGTTACTACCATCAAACATCAGCCCAAGGCCGAGTGCACAGCAGCCCCCCTGGGAATTGTGTTCATGGACCCTCCCATCCCAGGAGAGATTCCATGGGATGATGTAACCCAGGATGGACATACATAATTCAGAATAATGTTTGGTAACCAAGGAAATCAGAAAAGGGGCCATCCTGTAATGAGCTCTTTTGGTGAAGTTAATAAAAAGTTCTCTTTGAACAGATAAGATCAAAGAGAGCTGTTTCTTGTACTGATTTTTTTTCTTTTTATTGAGTTATAAAACAGATATTCTCAAGTGCATAAAGAATATTAGTCTTCAACATACAAAGCCATGAATTTTTTAAACAAATGTAAACTTAATATAAGTAACACCCAGGCCAAGAAATAGGACATTTCCAGACCATTGGGTTTTCAGTCAGCTCCCCACCCCATATCACAAAGAAATGCAACTCTAACTTGTCATCATCAGCTGTTCCACCTGTTCTTGAGCCTTATCAACACTGAACCATATCTGGTACTGGTTTGTGTTTAAGATCATTAAAGTCAAATCTACTATTTGTCCTTCATGTCTATCCTAGGCTTTTTTAGAGATGGCTTACACAGAAGCTGCCCAGGCCATGGTCCAGTATTACCAAGAAAAATCTGCTATGATCAACGGTGAAAAGTTGCTTATTCGGATGTCTAAGAGATACAAGGAATTGCAGCTGAAGGTAAAGCATTCTCGAATTCATTTAGTTATTCATCAAGTGTCAGCTAAGCTCTCTGCTTGCCGGGCATTGATCTCCAGTGCTGCTTGGGAAGGAGACCTTAGGGAATGATTAAACAATTACTCACTGCTTTTGAGGCTATCGTTTAGAAAGGCAAATTATAATGTGGTAAATTCATTGAGGTGAGTACAAGATGCAAAAGAATGCTTCAGATGGGTTGAGAGCTACGAAAGATTCTAGAGGGGAAGATGTTTACAGAAGAAGTCTTGAAGGAAGAAATAGAAAGTGGTTGTATTTCAAAAAGGATAATTCAAGGCATAGCCCCTTGAATGTAACTTGTCTACGCATTCAGCCCTTTAGTAACTTTTTCTTCCTCCAGCCCTCCCCTTGGTCCTTTGTTCTCTCTTTCCCCATCCACAGTTATTTCTGAAGCCCCATAGAAGTCTTCCTAAGCAGCACTTGACTGACTAGACCACTCAGAACTCAGGTGCATTCAGTCAATTCCAAAGCAGGCTTTATTTTTGTTCTAGCTTATTCTTCATTCTTCCTTCCTTTTTCTTCTTGACGAGTAGTATAGCACCTACACAGAACTAATTAATAATATTATGAAATTTAAAATTAATACTGTGCGAGATCTCATACATCACATAAAACTACCACCAAAGTTGAGAATCAAAATGCAGACAGTATCTAGAGGTTCCTGGGTCCTTCCTCATGCCCAACCCTTCTCTTTCCACTCTTCTACTCAGGATAATCATTTCCGTGTTTTTCTTCTAGTTCTACCACCATCTGTACCACCCTCAACAGTATGGCTAGTTCCACCCATTTTTGAACTTTCTGTGAAGAGAATCCTGCTGTCTTTGCTTCTTCTGTTTAACACTGTACCTTTGATCTCTGTTTTCACTGTTCTCTAGTTGTATGGCTATGCATTTGTTGATCCATTCTACGACTGATGAACATCTGGTTTGTTTCCAACTTTAGAATATTAAGAGCATTGCTAACTGTCTTGTCAAGCATGTTACTGTGGTACAAATGCACATGGGCATGTAACTAGGTGATACATGGATCACTAGGGCTGGAATCTCGATGATAAGACATGCTAACCCTCAACTTTACAAAGTGAGAGCACGCTCTTTCCAAAATTAGTTGTTACAATTTTACTTTCTCCTTAGTAGTATTTAAGAATTTATAGTGGTCCACATTCTTGTTAACCTTTTTCTGTCTTACATTTTAATTTTGGGAGGGGGTATAATGGGTAAACAATCATGGTTTTATCTTTTATTTTCCTGATGAAGTATTAAGACTGAACAATTTTTCTTATGTTTACTGACTCTTCAGTCTGGATCTTGGTGGGAAGTTTCTTTTCATGTGCCTATGATTGTGCCTTGTTGTTGACTTACAGGAGTTTTCTTAACTAAAGCACTTAGTCTGTTTGGGTTTATTATAATTGGTATGATATTTATGTTTAAATCTACCCTCTTATTTTATGCTTTCTACTGTTCCATTTAATAGTTTGTTTTTTTTTTCTGGTTCATCGCCATGTTTACTTAGGGTCCAATTTGTTCACAACTCACAGCCCTTAATATGTCCTTAATCTTCAAGGTTGACATCAGAAGACAAAGGCTCAGTGGTTGCTTCTAGCAAGGAATAGCATTCTAACAAGTCGACATATGCAGTTGGGTAATGTCACCCAGTTGTCCAAGTCCTCCTGCTTTGCTTGCATTGTCTCTGAAGTTCCCTTTGCAACATTTCTGCTTCGGGCACAGCCTGGATTCTTTTTTTTTTTTTTTTTTAAATCCCTAATGAGGCATCAGACAAGTAAAAGGCCCCACCCTGTTCTGTACTTGCCAGTTCCAATTCTCTTGGATTCTCCCCTGAGGGGTGGAATTGAATTTCTGCAGTGAGTTCCCAGTGGAACTTGGGTCTCCAAATGAGATGTTGTCATAAGATTCTAATTATGTTGAACAACAATAATCAGTTTCTTAAAGGACCAAAGCACAGTAATACCTTACCAAGAAAGTGAGTTTCACGTGGTGCAAAACTATGGCCAAAGAAGTTCAGCTAAGGTCCGCTGAATGCCCGCTGTAGGTGGAAAGTAGGCTGGTACCATGGACATAGAGGCGGCAAGTGTGTGAGGAGCTTGGTGTGGTGGGAGGAGAAGCATGGAAGCAAAGAGCCACCAGCAACCACGGGAGCTACGCCAGACTGGAAGGTGGTGGCGCCATTCTAGGCTCCACCCTTTTCTGCTTCCATGAGCTTAGACAAGTTACTTAACCTCTGTGAACCTCAGTACCCAGATCAGTTAAGGATGTACTTAAGTTCTTTGATTTTAAGTAATTTTTTTCCATGCATTTTCTTTTGGGTCTCACAATCTCACTAGCCTGTGAGGTATGTAGGGTGGATAATAATAGTAATTATAAGAATATAATGTAATTTTACCTTTAATTGAGTCGTGTTGCTCTGAGGCAAGTAATGCATTAAGCTCTTTACATACATTATGTACTTTAGTCCTGACATCAGTCCTGCTAGACAAGCATTGTACCCTCAATTTTACAGATGAAGATACTAAGGATAATAGAAGTTCAGCAACTTGCCCAAAATCTTAGTTACTGGAAGACCTATGTATAAAACCTGGACTATTTTGAGTTTGTACCAAATGCTGTAGATTGTTTTATTATGATGTTATGTTCTCCATCATTCACATTAAAAAAAAAAAAACCAGTAAGATCAGATATTTACTTACCATGTCGTGCCCGCCTCCGGACCCCCCCATCTCCCCCACCCCCCGCCAGGAAGTTGTGGAGACTGTGTTCTGACAGCTTCTTAAACTTCAAGGTGCATGCGAATCACCTGGGGCTCTTGTCAGAATGTGCCCTGGATTTGTAGGTATGGGTGAGGCCATAGTCCTGCATTTCTAACAAGCTCCCAGCTGGTCCTCAGAATATACTTTAAATAGTAAAGGTCTAGAACATACTGTTTTCTGATCTTTAGTATGTGTTTTCTGCTCCTTGAGTTGTCATACTGTCTCTCAGGATCATTGTGACCTTCAGCATATTTCAACCTTGTAGTAATGAAGGTCTTAAGGGCTCAGAATTGACATGAATCAGCTCTCTCTCTCTCCCTCTCCCTCCTCTCCTCATCTCTGTGTGTAACAAATCTGTGTCAAGTAAGCCCTATTGATAAAGCTAAAAGAAAGAATTTTGTAGCCAAGAGAAGTGCTGGCCACAGGTACAGCTGAATTCTGGCCCAAGTGAGATCATCAGGACATTGCTCTCCAAGCTGCCATCTGCCCTCATGGCTTTGTTTTCTGGGTGCTTCCTAGGATGTCCCTCAGCAGCCCCAGGCTCTCTCCTCTAGATGGCATGATAGCCTTCTGTAACTCTGGCTTTTCATCATGTCCTCTCTCTTTCAGTAAGAGAACCAGGCTTTTCCTTTTAGCTCCCACAAAACCTCAAGAGAGTCATTCTGATTAGACTAGTTTGGCACATGTTTCTATCCCTGAACCAATCTCAGTGGCCAGGAGAAGGCTGTGTTTTGATTGACAGGGCTTTGTAGGATGGGAAGAATTAGTTGCACAGGGGATGAGGGGGTCTAGGAAGTCATTCAATGAGAGGTGGTGTAGAGGCTGGGAAGCCCAATAATATCAGAAACTATTGGGGCTGCCTTGAAAGAGTCTGGCTCTGGTGAATTCCAGGCTCATTTGGAAGATTTCAACATCTTTCCAAGATTCTGGAGGTATGGCCAACAGCTGCAGAGCTGACAGAAGGGATGAAAGCCCACCCCCATCATAGCAGCTCCTTTTGTGTTAGACATGCACTCCACTGCTTTCGTCCTGCGTCTGCCATGCCCTGAGGATTTTGGTAGATGCCAGATGGGCCTCATTATGCCACCTTTCGAATTGAAGAAAGTGAGTTTCCCATAGGCAATAAGCCTTGGCCCCAGGTGACCCTGCCAGTTGGAGGGCAGAGCCAGGGCTGCTCTTACAGAGTTGATATTCCAACTTCTGCTGTCTCCCTGTCAGTAGGGTAACACTTTACTAGGATTGTGTTGGGCTTAGAATCTCACCCTGTCTTAGGCACAGCAAGATGTGTTGACAATGAGCACTATGGCTATTCCCCCAAGTGACTGTTGAGCTGCATTTGTGTCATCATAGAATAGAGGAAAAGACATGCCATCTGAGATTTGCTTCAAAATTATCTCAAGAGTGGGGAAAGAGGGTGGGAGTTTAGATGCCACAAGATTGGGCAGAACTATTGGAGATGGGTATGGGATTCCGCATACCATTCATTCTGCTATTTGCATGTGTAAACTTTCCTATAATAACAAGGAACCCCAAATTTCATCATAGACTGACTCTCTTCTCTCTCAATTCCACTTTCCTGTGATGCTGATAGCATTATGGCACCTGCCTCCTTTCTATAACCGTAGACACAGAGGCCAGTCTGAAAGAAACAGAATTGAGAAGCCATTTCTGTTGTTTGAAAAATCTTTGGCCGCTTCTGTTCCTAGTCCTGGATGACAGCTGGCAGGGAATTTGGTCTGGAGCGTGCCAACCAATTTTTAATTTAAAATAGTGAACTGACCATCTGATCCTCAGAAGGGGACACGGTGTCTATGATGACTCTACCCCAGCATGTAGTATCTTCAGATTGTCTCTGAAGATTACTCTTTTCAGCTGCCTCCATCCATTTCTTTGGTCAGCCATCGTGGACCAGGTATATGGGCACCTGCTTCATGTAAGGGTCTGCACTGAGATTGCCCATGTGAAGAAAGTGGCTCGGAGCCACCTTACTTGGAAAACAGAATCTGAACAGAAGTAATTCCATGCAGCATTGGGCTGAAAGTGGCTCCCCAAAGAGGTTGTATGCTGATGAATAAGGTATATGGGATGTTTAAGACAAGAAATGGCTCTTCCACCTCCCAGAACACTATAAATCCATCACTGTGACCTCTGGAGGCCTACATGAGTCACTAGATGTTGTCATCTGTATTGTCTGAAGGGCCCACTCTACCTGATGACTCCCATTGGCTTTCTCAAGCTTCATTATTTGTCATGTGTTGGCTGTATGAAGACAGTCACAAACTTCTAAAGCGGGATCCATGTGAAGTGCGGTTGACTTCGAATGAGCCTCCTTCTACTTCAAAGGAGTGCCAACAACCTGTCTGGAGTGAGTGTGGCATGGAAGGAAACATCTGGGAAGAAGCTTTCTTCTCAGCCCAAGCCAGTTGCTATGTCTTATTCCTTACCCAGCCTTGGGCTCTGCAAGGTTTTGGTCCCATTCAAACAGATCTGGTGTCAGTTGACAGTACATGCCCTGAGTGACCTGATTACTTGCAGGTGATACTTCATATTCTCATGAAATGTCAACTTTTATACTTTCTGTTGAATACAAGGTACTATTTTGCCCAAGTTGTGAGGTACCTTTTTATATAACTACCCCAACCAGTTCTAAGCCCCTGAGCCTTTTCTCGAGCAGAGAATTGACTGGTCTCTGTGTCCTCAATTCTTCATGGCTCAGGACCAGGGTCACTATGTTCTCTTTGACTTTCTTTCCTTTTGCATCTTGAGCTGACAGGACATTCCTCCTTAACTTGAGCATTTTGTATCTTTTCCCTGTGTTCCTGGCCTCTCACCCTGAATCCCAGGCAGGCCCTCCTCCATTCTCACCATTACTAGGTATTTCTCCCAGCCCTACCCTCAACCCCAGTGATAACAGATCAGTGGTCATGCCTTTCCAAGAATTGGAATTCTAGTTCCAGTTATTGTGTACTGCTGGGCCTGGATTTCCCAGAATGAGCTATGTGATGATCGCTAATGTTTGAATGGCTCTGAAGATTTCTTGCATCTATGTAAAATACATGAAAAAAAAGCAAGAATAAGGAGAGCAGTTGATTAGACTTCTTAAATTTTTTTGATTTTTTTTTTTTGTGTGTATGAGTGTTTTGCCTGCATATGCGTGTACCTTGTGCATGCAGTGACCTCAAAGGCCAGAAGAGGGCCTCAGAACCCCTGGAACTGGAGTTACAAATGGTTGTTAGCCATTATGTGGGTATTTGGTACCAAACTCAGGTCTTCTGCAAGAGCAGTGCTTAACCACTAAGACATCTCTCTAGCCTCTGATTAGACTGCCTCCTCCTCCTTTTCCTCTTCCTCCTCCTCTTCTTCCTTCAGGTCTCACTATGTAGCTCTGGCTGGCCTAGAACTTGCTATACAGATGAGACTGGCCTCTGCCTCCTGAGTGCTGGGATTAAAGGTGTATTGCCACCACACCTGGCCTTCTTAATAAAAAAAATAATTTCTTATTCTAGTTACTAATGAGGAAGAACCCAGTAGAGGGATGCTTTTAGAAGCCCTTGTCAAGAAACTCCAATGGAGTCTCATATGAACATTTGAAAATTTCCCTGTTCTGACTTTTTTTCTGGTTCCCTGTCTAGAACTTGTAATGCTAATTACTCTTGCCTTTACTTCTCCTTTACACCTCCTATTCATGATTCAAGAACTTTCTTTTTCCTCTTAGAGGCAAGAGTTATGCAGTTTGGGAGTCTTTTAGATAGACCCACTGAAGGGGTACTCCAGTTGCCTCACCCTGCGTCCCTGTTCAGCATGGAAGAAGCCAGAGTGGTCTGTGTCCCTGTCCCCTATTGGCAATTTGGGTAACCCCTTCAGAGGATGGCATGATAAGAATAGGAGGTAGGAATTGGGTAGGCAGTTAGGGTAAAAAGACCCCAAAGAAATGTACCTTGTGCATGCAGTGACCTCAAAGGCCAGAAGAGGGATGTAGCCAGTTTCTTGGCTAAAAGTCAAAATGTCCTTGGGCCTGTTAGCAACATACTCTGTTCCAAAGGCCGAAAATGTCAAAAGTATTTGGGAGCTTGTATCTAATCCTTAAAAGATTTTAGGGTTACCTCTTCAGAGGTGGGAGTGTTGGAGGGGAAGGAGTGGGCGTGGACTTGATCAAAACACCTTATATACATGTATGAAATTCTCAATAAAGTTTTTGTAAAAATAGCAAAAACAATGAGTCTTTCTGCAAGGAACAATATATTCTAAAATGAAATGGAGATCTTTTTTAAAGGTTAGAAACTCATTCAGTTTTATGTCTTACAGGGTTTATACCGAGGTCAATATTGTTTAACTGTATTAATTCAACTCTGAACCTAAAAATTTACAGTCACTTTTGAAAGAGATGTATCATTGCTCTGGACCTAAAAGAATAAAATTTTAAAAATAAAATAAAAATAAATAAAATTATCAAAATTTGACATGGAGCTGGGCATGGTGGCACATGCCTGTAGTCCCAGCACTTGGGAGGCAGAGGCAGGTAGAGCTCTGTGAGTTCAAGGCTAGAGTGGTCTACATAGTGAGTTCCAGGCCAGCTGGGGCTACAGGGGGACCCTGTTTCAAAAGGACAAAAAAAAAAAAAAAAAAAAAAACTTTGACATGGTTGATTGGGGATTTTAGTTCTGTTTTTTTAAAATTATTTTTATTTTATGTATATGCGTGTATTGCCTGCATGTATGTGAGTGTACATGTGTTGTGCAATGCCGCAGAGGTCAGAAGAGGGCTTCAGATTCCCCTGGAACTGGAGTTAAGGACAGTTTGTAGCTGCTATGTGGGTGCTGGGAATCGAACCCGAGTCCTCTGCAAGAGCAGTCGGTGCTCTTATCCACGGAGCCAACTCTCCAGCCCCATAGGTCTGTTTTTTAAATATCTGCTTTATTGAGATATGACTCACATACCATAAGTCACCCAGCTTGGTACATTTTATTGAATGGACAAATTCTCCAGGCTTTTTGGAATATTGTCCTGCCCTTTTCTTATAAATTCCTTTTTTAATATTTATTTTTGGTTATTTTATCATTGTCCATTAGGGGTCTAGGAAAAGGCTTTGGTTAGAATTTGGGGACTGGGCTTGGTACAGACATCACCCAATGACCTCTGGAAAGGGCTGAGCCTTTGGATGTCTAGCGTCCTCAACTGTAAAATATGCCACACAGCTTGCAATCCTACCTCACTGATTTTCTTGGAGTATCTAATGACCTCTGTGAATGAACACAACATAAGATACTGTTGGAAAAGTATTCCATTAGCAATGACAGCACCTTGGATAAGGCCTCCAGTTGTTCCTCCTGTGTTAGAAAGCAATGTAGCAAAGTGACAGTATCTGGCTCTTTAGGGCAAGTCTATACTCTGCTGAAACGCCCTGAATATGCATGAAGGTGGTAGAGATTCTGTTTAGAGCCAACCAGTTCTTGATTTTCATGAGCTGAATACAGATGTAGGAGTAAGAAAGTAGATGATCATGTAGCAATTGACAGCACCTTGGATAAACCTTATTAGCTACAATAGAGCCACTGCTGGATGATAGGAGTAAGGTGTTGAAGGGACACAGAAACCAGAGGTAAAGTGTTATTGTCAAGTCTTCATTCTTTGTCTCTGTGACCTTTGACATACCTCATGAATCACCCATGGAACATGGTATGGCTAGTGACTCTGGAGTTATGCCATCTAGAAGCTCTGTTGCAGCTTCTCTGGATCTGTTAATACACATATAGAAGGTGGAAGCTGCTACTGTTCTCCCTCCCATCCCCCCTCCACAAGATTGTTTTTCTTTTTCTTCTTTTTAAATTTGGGAGGCTGAGGGGGGAGACTGACAGATACAACTTGCCCCCCAGGATGTAGATGGTAAACTCTGGCTCCTCTCTGGACTCTCAGCCCTACTCTGGTCTTTACTCTGATCACACTCCTCATCTGTTGGGTTAGACCTTTTATCTTCACTGCAAAAGGTACTTTTCCTCTTTGGTGGACTAGGCAATGAACAACCTACAGAATGGTTGCTTCCCTCTGGTGCTTGCGTAGCTGCCTCTTATCTAATGATCTCTCTGACTCTGTCTAGAAACCTGGGAAAACTGTGGCTGCTATCATCCAGGACATCCATTCCCAGAGGGAGAGGGACATGTTCCGAGAAGCTGACAGGTAAGGCTTTGGGTCTCAGGACAGAGTCCTGTTCTTAGGGAATTTGAGTTGCACCATGCTCTACCCTGGCTCCTACTCCATCCCTCTGCCGTTTGGCCCCTACCTGTCCCTGTTCAAATGAAAAGTATCATGTAGGTCCAGAAGTGCTGCTTAGGTTAAGCATAGGGGAATGCAAGATGCTGGCCCTCCAGTCGTTCCTCCTGTATTAGAAAGCAATGTAGCAAAGTGTTAGTTATTACTCTATTGAAATGCCTCGAATATGCATGGTGATGGTGGAGATTCTGTTTAGAACCAACCAGTTCTTGATTTTTCATGAACTGAATACAGATGTAGGAGTAAGAAAAAAAATCACCCAGTGACTTTAACTCATTTATGACCTTGCCAGCAAGGGCTACAAGTTAACCATGATCACTCCCTCCCAAAGGCAGCCTTCTGAAAAGCCAAGGCGGAAAACTTCATGACCTGGCCTGTAGTCTCTGGCTCTTTCCCAGAGTGTCCACAGAGGGTGCTCTAGCCTCACTGTAGAGGGCAGGAGTCCATGCTCTTTCCCATGCTGGCCTAGGTACCCTAGTCCTAGAGAGACCAGTTTCCTGGCAGTAAGGGCTACATGGTTGGCTTACAGTTGAGAACCAAATTGAAAATTGTCCCTCCTTTTAGGATGTTGAGTATATGATTCAGTTGATCTGCTTAATAAAATAACCAGCCTTCAGAGACTATGTGTTTATGTATATGTATGTGAGTGTTTAAGCTTGGGATTTTTGTTTGTTTTTGTGTTTGTTTAAAATTGTGGTTATTAGCTGGGTGTGGTAGTACATACCTCTAATCCTAGGATGTGGGAGGTGGAGGCAGTGGTATCTCTGTGAGCTCCAGGTCAGTTTGGTCTACATAGAGAGTTCCAGAGCAGCTGGGGATACTGGGGAGACCCTGTCTCAAAAAACAAAAAACTGTGATTATTTTGGGTTTTAAATGACATATGGAAAGACATAGCATGCTACCTGCAGTTCTGTGGCAGTGTGGAAGGGATTAGAGGTCATGCTCTAGACCTTACTTAGGCAGGTCCCTGTTCTCAGGGTTTTAATTTCTTCATCTCAATTATAGCAGGCCAGAGTTCTGATACCTTTCCAATCCTTAGATGTCTTCATAGCTCTTTATTTTGGGGTCTATGAGTCTTCCCTCCTATACTTGCCATTCCCCAGTTTTGGGCACCCCTCTTCCTTGCCCAGAATCTTAGCAGGTTGACATGAGGACTAAATGAGAAAAATGGAGGGTAAGAGATCACCCAATGCTGATGGAGACCAGGTAGAAGAATGGCTTCAAGTCTGATAAGCAAGGGGCCAGCTGACTGGACCTGGGTTAGGCAGCTTCCCCAAGGCCAAACCAGGGCATCCCCCTGAGCCCTCACTCCAGAGCCTCTACGCTACACATCCCCAGGCAGAGAGTCTTCCTGGGGCTAGTTTCCCAAGTACAACTCACTTGCTTTCTCCTTTTCTTTTCTTTTTAAAAATTTATTTTTTGTTTTGTTTTTTAATTTTATGTGTATGCGTGTATTGCCTGCATGTAGGTAAGTGCACCCGTGCTGTGCAATGCCTGTGGAGGTCAAAAGAGGCTGTTGGATCCGCAGGAACTAGATTTACGGACAGTTGTTAGCTGCCATATGGGTGCTGGGATTCGAACCCGGGTCTTCTGCAAGAACAACCAGTGTTCTTAACCGCCGAACCATCTCTTAAGCCCCAGATTTATTTATTTTTATTTTACATGTATGAGTATTTGCCTCCATGTATATAAGAGTACCACATGCGTGCCTGGTGCCCAAGGATGCCAAAAAGGGCATCAGATCCTCCAGAACTGGAATTACAGGTGGTCTGGGAACTAAACATAAGCCCTCTGCAGGAGTAGCAAGTACGCTTAACTGCTGAGCCATCTCTCCAGACCTGATTATGTACTAACATTTTGGTTTTTTGAGACAGGGTCTCAGTATATTGCCATGGCTGTCCTGTAACACTCTATATAGATCAGGCTGGCTTTGAACCCACAGAAATCTGCTTACTTCTGCCTCTAGAGTGCTGGCATTAAAGTGTATGCTGCCAACCCCAGCTATAGCTCACTTTTCAGAGAAAGAAATGTAGGACTGAGCCAAACCAATGCAATTATTCTTCCCAGTTCATACACCCAGACTGAGGAAGGTGACAGGAAGTGACTTAGGAACAATACCTCCTCATAGAAGCCAGGCAGGGGGATAGGCTTTTTCCTGGACCACTCAGTGTAGTGCTGTATTGTGACTGAAGAGTGTACAGCTGGACAGGTTGTGCTAGATGCACCTGTGAGAGAATTGTGTGTGCCTGTATCTCGGTGATGCAGGGTATAGGTTATGTAGAGCCTGAATGCTGCTCCTTTCCTCCCTCACAGATACGGACCAGAGCGGCCACGTTCTCGCAGTCCAGTGAGCAGGTCACTCTCCCCCAGGTCCCACACTCCAAGCTTCACATCCTGCAGCTCTTCCCACAGTCCTCCAGGCCCCTCCCGGGCGGACTGGGGCAATGGCCGGGACACCTGGGAGCACTCTCCCTATGCAAGGAGAGAAGAAGAGCGAGACTCTGTCCCCTGGAGGGAGAATGGGGAGGACAAGAGGGACAGGACAGACATGTGGGCACATGATCGCAAACACTACCCCAGGCAGCTGGACAAATCTGAGTTGGATGATCGACTGGAAGGAGGGAGAGGCCACCGGGAAAAGTACCTGAAGTCTGGGTCCCCCAGCCCGCTCCACTCTGTGTCCAGCTACAAAGGCCGGGAAGACTGCTATTATCGGAAAGAGCCCAAAGCCAAGACGGACAAGTACTTAAAACAGCAGCAGGATGCTCCAGGAAGGTCCAGAAAGAAAGAAGAGGCCAGACCAAGGGAAAGTAGACACTCTCACCCTGAGGACTCAGGCAAGGAAGATGGGCTGGAGCCCAAGGTCACTAGGGCTCCTGAGGGTAACAAGTCCAAGCAGAGTGAGAAAAATAAAACCAAGAGACCTGATAGAGACCAAGAAGGAGCTGATGACAAAAAAGAAAGCAAACTGGCAGACTTTGAGGTAATGATGCAATTGTTTCCCCCAGGTAATGTGAGGCAGGCCCAGAGGAAAATCATGATTCTAATATATTGCTGAGGAGCATTTGAATGAATGAACATTTACCTTTTAAAAAAATACTTTATTATTTTTATTTTGTGTGTGTGAATGTATTGCCTGCATGCATGTAAATGCACCCATGTCATACAGTGCTGGTGGAGGTCAAAAGAGGGTGTCGGATCCTCTGGAACTGGTGTTAGGGACAGTCATTAGCTGCCATGTGGGTGCTGAGAACTGAACTCAGGTCCTCTATAAGAGCAGCCAGTGCTCTTAACTGCTGAGCTGTATCTCCAGCCCCACAAATAAACATTTCTTGACTGTTTACTATGTGCCAGGCAATGGGCTAAATACAGTATATCAACTGAACTATTTAATCCTCATAGCTACCCTATAAGGTTAGTACTATTAGTACTACAGAGGAGAATTGTATTTGCCCAAGGAGATTGGGTTGGGAAATGGGACCTTTATCTAGTGATCTGGCCCCAAATTCCACAGCACCTAGTTGTTTTACTAGAACTTAAGGAGGGACATGACGGAAGACTTCTGTAGTCCTGTGTGCCCAGGGTGGAGTGGCCCTGGGGTGTTGGCACCCACAGAGTCACCCAAGAGAGATTAGATCTTTGGTCAACTCTGTCCTCCTGCTAAAAGCATCTACCAGTCCTGGAGCTCCAGTGAGAGGTGGCAAAGGAGAAGCAGCCACCACCCCCTAAATTAAACTGGATGCTCAGGCATGGTACATTTCTCTAGATAAAGGGCTTTAGTTTCAGTTTAATAAAGGTACGTTGTAATTAGCTGGCACTTGCATCCAAGTGTCTGTTGTACTGATTCAGTTCACAGGGGAGTCCTGGGGGAGCTCTGGGTACCAGCTTTAAATTCTGACTTGGCTTATAAGGTTCCTTCTTGCCGAGGCTTCCTATGGTTAAGTAGGGATGGGACAGTAGAGGTTTAGCCAGTTGCATAAGAAACAATTAAAAAAAATCCTCCTTGCGTATATACTAGTTACCCTTACCCAGGAGTCGGTGATAGTAAATCCAAATAAAAAGCCCAATTCTTAATCCCATGAACATGAAGAGTCACACTTTGGCAACTACTTGAGCCTTCATCCCCACATGTGTGGGTGGAGTGCCACTTTACCAGGCAGTGTTCTAGGCACAAGCAATCTAAAGATGAGTAAGACATGGCCCATGTTATGACAGAGACCAAGATCTAATGGTGGAAACAGATCTATAAAATAATCCCATACAATGTACAGGGGTTAAACTGCTCTGTAGGCGATTAACTCTGCACAGGATAAAAGCTGCACATAGAGGGATTTGAACTAGGTACTGAAAGTGGACAGAAGCCACTTTGGTATTCTTGGTAAAAGGTACAATGGGGGTAAAAGTGTAAAGAAAAGACTGTTTTCAAGAACATGAAGATACTCAAGGCTGCATCTTTAGGACATATTAAAGATTCTGTTTTTTTTTTTTAAAGATTTATTTATTTTTATGTGTATCAGTGTTTGCTGGAATGTATGTATGTGTACCACATACATGTCTATTGCCCATGGAGGTCAGAAGAGGGTACTGAGTCCCCTGGAACTGAAGTTACAGACTGTTGTGAGCTGCCATGTGGGTTCTAGGAACCAAACCCAGTCTTCTGTAAGAGCAACTAACCACTGAGCCATCTCTCCACCTCAAGGTTCTGTTTTTTAAATTAAAATAATGAATGTGGTGTAAACATCTAGTGACTACCTCTCAGAGATTTTATTTAACTCATTCATTACATCTTATCAGTGTAAGATATAAGAGTATCTCAAAGGAGACTCCAAAGTAGACAACTTACATAAACAAGTATGAATTTGCCAGTGATGTGGAGCTGCTGTCTTCTGCAGAGGACAGGAAATTGACTGCATCGTCACTGGATAAAATTCATTTACAGCTCTATGAGGAAGAATCATTTGCATTAGAATCAGTGATCAGTTCTCAGAAACTTGTAGACTATAAAATCATAAAAGATACCAACTGTTAAAGAATCAGATACCCAGGGGCTGGAGAGATGACTCAGTAGTTAAGAGCTCTGGCTGCTCTTATAGAGGCCCTGGGTTCGAATCCCAGCACCCACATTGCGACTAACTCCAGTTCCAGGGGATCTGACACCCTTTTTTGACTTCTGCAGGCATTGCACAACAGGTGCACCTACATGCATGCAGGCAATTTACTCATGCACATAAAATAAAAGTAATAAATAAAACATTTACAGAAAGAATCAGATATCCTAGAAGGATATGGTAGATAAATGCCTAGCATTCTATTAAAAGACACCCAGACTTGGAATTCCAGATACTTGGTAGGCTGAGGCAAGGGGATCTCTAGTTCAAGGTCAGCCTGAGCAACTTAGTGAGACACTGTCTCAAAAGAAACAAAGTGGAGGGCTGAGGATGAAACTCAGTGGTGGAGTGTTTGCTTAGCCTTAAGAAACCCTGGATTCAAAAATAAATAAATAAACAAAAACAAAAAAAATTTAAAAAAATATCCAGTAATCTTTTTTTGCCCATTTCAAAGACTGCTACCTGTTCTCTTTCTTTCTTTCTTTCTTTTTTTTTGGACACAAGGTCTTACTTTGTAGATCTGGCTTCCTTGAACTCATAGAATGATTGTCTTAGTTTGTTTCTTCATTGCTGAGACAAAACACTCTGACTAATACCAGCTTGGGGAGGAAAGGGTTTATTTATCTTACATCTCCCGGGTCACAGTTCATCAGGGAGCCCAAGGTAGGAACTCAGGGCAGGAACCTGGAGGCAGGAGCTGGAGCACAGGCCATGGAGGAACGCTGCTTACTGGCTTGCTCCTCTGGCCCCTGCTCAGCCTGCTTTCTTATGCAACACAGGCCCACCTGCCCAGGGGTGGCATCACCCACAGTGGGCTGGGCCCTCCCATATCACTCATCAAGAAGATGCCCCTCAGACATGGCCACAGGCCAGTCCAATAGAAGCAATTCCCCAATTGAGGCTCCCTCAACCCAGGTGTGTCAAGTTGACACTAAAGCTATCCAGCACAATTGACCCCTTGTCAACTTGACATACAAACATCACTATTAAACCATAACTTTCCAATTTTTGTCCCCAAGATATGTTAATATCACAGCATAAGACAGAACAACTTTAAAAACCTACAATCCTTAAGAAATCCAAGCACTTAAAAGTCCATAGTCTCTTTTAAAAGTCTCTTAACTATGGGTGGGCATCTGTAAAATCCAAAACAAGTACTGTCTTATTTCAAAGGGAAGAATCAGGCACACCTAAGCAAAACCTAAGTCCAGCAAAGTAGCTCGAGGCTGGACATCTGGGATTCACTCACGATCCTCTGGGCTCCAAAGGGTACTGGTGGCTCCATTGCTCTGACTCTGCAGTCCATAGCACACTCAGGTCATCTTGCAGACCCAGGCCAACTCCATTCCACATCTGCTGCTGTCCTTGGTGGTTGACCCATGGTCCCGGCATCTCCAAAAAGCTGGGGTCTCCACTGAAACTGAGGTTGCACCTTCACCAATGGCTTCTTCTTGCCTCTCTGGGTGCAAAGCCTCAGATTCTCTCCATGACCCCTTCAATCCTGGGGTCTTAACTGCAACTGAAGCTGCACGTTCACCTATGGACTTTCCTGGCCTCTGCATGCCAAGCCTCAGCTGCTCTCTGCGACCCCTTCATGCTTTCAACACCAGAACCATGCAGGAGACTCTTACACATTACCAAGTCCTGCTTCCAGCTTGAGATAGAGACTTGGGTCCCCTCTGTGTGCTGACCCTGAGGAAATACCTCCCAGAAGACTTCGCCTCAGTGATGCTAGTCTCTTATTACTTACAGCTGATTTTCAGCCCGAGCTAACCAGCATCAATTGTCCCAGTAAAGCAAAGGTTTTACTTCAGTTTCTGGTCTCTTCTTAATCACAGCTGATTTTTCAGCCCCCGCCAACCAGAATCCAGATTCTCAATCCAAAAATCTCATACCAACAGCCCTGATAGTCTCTGCTTCCCTTTGAAGCTTCACAAGCCAGGCCTCCATCATCTGCAACTCTTCCAAGCTCCACAGCAACAAACTCTGAGCACGCAATGGCTTTTCTGACCCAAAGTTCCAAACACTTCAACAGCCCTCCCCAAAACACCAAGCTCAGGTCTGTCACAGCAATATCCCACTCTCTGGTACCAATTACTGTCTTAGTTTGTTTCTTCATTGCTGGGACAAAACACTCTGACCAGTACCAACTTGGGGAGGAAAGGGTTTATTTATCTTACATCTCCCGGGTCACAGTTCATCAGGGAGCCCAAGGTAGGAACCCAGGGTAGGAACCTGGAGGCAGGAGCTGGAGCACAGGCCATAGAGGAATGCTGCTTACTGGCTTGCTCCTCTGGCCCCTGCTCAGCCTGCTTTCTTATGCAACACAGGCCCACCTGCCCAGGGGTGGCATCACCCACAATGGGCTGGGCCCTCCCATATCACTCATCAAGAAGATACCCCTCAGACATGGCCACAGGCCAGTCCAATAGAAGCAATTCCCCAATTGAGGCTCCCTCAACCCAGGTGTGTCAAGTTGACACTAAAGCTATCCAGCACAATGATCCATCCACCTTCCTCTGCCTCTGCCTCCTGAGTGCCTCAACTAAAGGTGTGCACTACCTGTTTTCTTGAATGGCCAAGCAGGGAAGGCATGGGAGATGATTTTAAAGGAATGAGTGGGGTGGGCACACTTTGTGTGCCTTGTTAAGACTTAAACTAGATCCTAAGAACCTGGTAAACCAGCCTGTGTTTTTAAGAAGAGGATATAGTTAGTCCTGTGTATCCATGGGTTTCATATTTGTGGATTCAACCAAACACTGAAAACATTTGGGAGAAAAAGTTGTCTATAATGAAGATCTACAGACTTTTTTCTTCTTGTTCCCTAAACAAGACAGTAATTATTTATATAGTATTTGCATGGTATTGAGTATTACTAGTAATCTAGAGGAGATTTAAAGTATACGAGAGGATGTGTGTAAGTTACAGGAAAATGTGTATAAGTTATAGGCAAATGGTCGGCTGTTTTATATAAGGGCCTTGGGCATCTGCAGATCCTGGCATCTGAGGGGAGTCCTGGAATCCATCCCTGTGTGGACACTGTTAGGCAACTGTTATTTGCTCAGAAGTAGTCTAGGTGCTGGTGATGGCTCAGTGCTTCAAGCAGAGGCTCACAGGGGCCAAGAGGACAAGTTGGTGGGCCTTTGCACATGATCCTTCCAGAAGTCCACCTAGTATGCTTAACTTAGCATCTTTGTCTTCTTCACTTATGGCTACTGCATAAGATCAACATCCCAACCCACTTCTTTCCCCTCCTGCCTTTCCTGTGTTCAGCAATGCTGTTCACCTAGCATCCTTATTTTACAGTGTCTACTTTCACCCCCAAACCCCCAAGTTTAATCTCTACAAGGCAGAAATTTTTGTCTTTTATATTCACGCCCTTGTCCTGGCCCTTGGAGTAGAGCTTGGTACAAAGTGAGCATTTGATCAGTATCTGTGGAAGGAGAGAATGACTGAGGCCAGATTCTGGAGGCAAAGGCCTGATGCCAGAGAACCAGGTCACATCCTGTTCTTCTCTGCCTTGGTGTTTTTTGTTAAGTAGGTATGATTGCTTGTGCTCATGACAGACCCTCTGAAATCTCTAGAGAAAATACCTAGATGGGAAAACCCATGTGTGTATTTCTCAGTGTTCATGGGTGGCCAAGTCCAGTCCTGACCTTAGCATGCTAGGGAAGGAAGAAAGAAATAAAGTCACTGAAAAAAGAAACTAAGGGAAAAAAGAACCCCTTTATCCTTCTAGAAAGGATGGATCAAGATTATAAATGTCCAGGGAATCCAATCCTATTAGGCAGATTGGATGAGTAAAGCCAAGCAGGCGTAATGGGGCCCTACAGAGTTAGGAGGTAGTACCTGTCTATGGGAGAAGCCAGCAGCTGCTCAGCTCTAGATGGCTACCATGCAAAAGTTCATGCCCTTGTTGGCAGAGGTGGCTACCATGCAGATGTGCATTCCCCTATTGGCAGATCTCCTGTTCCGTAGAGCAAGACTCAAGTCCACTTATCTGTATGGAATTGCCATACTTTAGAAAGTGTATAGTCTAGGAATGGGGAGATTGCTCAGTGGGTAGAGAGAAACTGAGTTCAAATCTTCAGAATGCAGGTAAAACTGGGCACAGTAATGCACATGTGTAATCCCAGGGCTCCTACAACGAAGTGGGAGTCAGAGGCAGGAGAATCTCTGGAGACTTATGGGTCACCTAACCTGTGTGCACAGAGGCAAACACCAAAGAAACCTTCTCAAAGAAGTTGAAGATGAGGACTGATATCAGAGCTTGCCCGATAATCTCCACGCACATGTTGTAGCACATGTGAACCAGCACTTACACACTGGGTAATGCTAAGGAAAGGGGTGTAAGATGTTACTAATGCCTGTAACAGATCCAAGCCTTCCCTGTTGAAATTTGAAGGAAGCTTATGTACTTTGGAGGTAAAGGGGAAGGAGAGCAGACAGAGGTAACAGCACATGCAAAGGTCCCATGTATGACTAGAGGCCAGTGTTGTTGGAGCAGAGAGCACAAGTTAGCACATTGGGAAATGAGATGGATTTGTCCACAAGAGCCATATTACGCAGGACCTTGTGTGCAGATGAAAGATTTTAAATCTTCAACAAAAGGGGAAGTAAATGAAATGTTCTGACAAGAAAGTTCAAGTGAGGGTGTGATTATTGTTCCATATTAGAAGGACCCTTTTGATTGTGTTGGAGGAAGGGCAGAGAGCAGAAAGGAGAGAGCAATTAGGAGGTGGCTGGGTAGTAGCCCTGCTTCTGCAGTGGAAGTATCTGCCTTGGTCTATAAGTAGGGATGGGCAACTTGTATGGACTCCATTGTGTTCTCCTGAAGCTGCCACTGTCACCTTAGGGAGAAGGGAAGCCCTGAAAAGTGCCACCTTGCTCCTTTAGTGGTCTGCCAGGTGAGGGGCTTCTGGGTAGGTGCCCAAGGCTGCCCCTTCCTCTTCCAGCTTGAACTGGAGGGGATGCTGCACAGTAAGTCTCCAGGAACTGCTTGCGAGGGGTAAGGCTTATTTATTTTGATGAGGAAAGACCATGGATAATTTAGTCAAGGAGATAAAAACCAGCATGCGGTCACCATTTAGCAGAAACTGACTTCTCACAGCTAGGAAGGCATTTGTGGCTGCATTATGCTTGGGTTTACACTCAAAAGACTGGAGGAAAAGCTTTCACTGGATTCTGCTGCTCCAAACACTGGAAAAAGCAAGGACTTGAAGACATCAGCTGTCCCTGTCCAGGAATAACAAGTTAAACCAGTCAGTCCTGGGTTCCTGCCCCAACTGGCTCCTTGTCAGCTTAAGGGGATGTGTCTGACTGAAATTAATTAGAGCCTTTACCTTGAATCAACCTCAGCCAAAAAATGTTGAGAAAATGTAATCATTCCCTAAGGAAGCCCAGGGAATAGTCATGGTTTGATGACCAAAGGTTAAGTCATGACTGAGTACCCTCCAGAAACTTCTAAGGTGAGAATTAGCATGCCTTTCTACAAAGGATCAGTTTGGAAAGATTTTAGTCTATTCAGACCAAGAGGCAGAATTGAGGATTTTATGTGGGTACTTAGACGATCATTTAAAATGTAACTCTTAGGGTCCAATGAGATGGCTTAGCACTGTTCTGCCAGACTACGTGTTTGTTTCCCAGCGCCCATAATGGACAGCTCACAAACTCTTATAACTCTAGCTCTGGAGGATCCAGTGCCTCTGATCTCTGTGGTCACCTGGACTCATGTGCAGATAACCATACACATATGCCTAATTTTAAAAATATAGCTCTTCAAAATTATAATTGCACTCTGTGAACTATAGATTACTGACCCCCTTTGTAAAGGCTGTTCAGCAGCCGAACACCTGCTTTCAGTTGCTCTGTTCTCCAGATGTGGTTGACTACCTGGAGGACCGTAAAGCAGGGAGGAGGAAGCCAAGGGGGTATACTCAGGCTGTAGCTCTGGTTGGCTGACAACTCCTTTCCTACCCATAAGGGGACAAACTGTGATATATTTTTAATGGTAAAAATATGGCTTTGGGGACGATGCCATCACAGTGGCTAACCCCTAGATCTTACCTGCCTAGGTCAGGTCGCCCTTAGCTCCTTGTATTCATCCTCCCCACAAACACCCAGATTGCCAGGGATTTCCTTCCCCCTAAAGTCATCAGCCTAACTTTCAAGATGTTTTTATGTCTCTCTGTGTGACTGAGCAAGTTCCTTAGCCTTTCTGAGCCTCAGTTTCCTCAGCAGCTGCCTCTCAAGGACAGGGTGGGGGGAAAGGAAAAGTTTATGCTTGTGAACACCTTTGCTCTCTCTACACTCCCACTTTCCCATGCCTCTGCTCACTGCTGCTCTCCTTTTTCTGTTCTTCCTTTGATAAGGCTGGAAAAGAGGAACAGGAGGGCATGGATGGAAGCCCTCAATCAGTGGGCAGACAGGAGAAAGGAACAGAGTCGTCTGATCCAGAAAGCACGAGGACGAAGAAGGTAAAGTTGTCCCAGATCTTAGTATGGCTGTCATATTTAGCCATCAGGGACTCAGTCACAGGAGCTGCCTGGCAGTGGTGGCATGAAATGTATGTAAATCTCCACTAATGGCCCCAATGGCCCTGGCCCTCAGCAGTTTCTGGAGGAATGGCTTTGTGGGGGATCTTTGAGTATCTTCACTAAGGTGATCTTCAGCCACATGCGTGGGTTCTGCCTCCCTCTCCAGCAACTTGGCTGTTCTACTAAGAGAAACATGTGCCCTAAAAAGACCCAGGCTTCAGAGCCAGGCTCCCAAAATAGGCAGGTCCCTTAGGGGGTAGGGGATACCAGTATTCAAGTTGGGGTCCTGACCTCGGCAGGCCCAGACACTGAGATTAATAGGACATATTCTATGCTTTGTAAAGATTATTTTACTTAGTTAAAAATCAAAATCCAATTACAGTCCTCCTGGGCTGGGCTTCCACAAGCCAAAAGAAATGTCCTTGGATGATGGCCAGCTTCGTGCCTTTCCGGTCAGGGGAAGCTAATCTCCTAAATCTGTCTGCCCCAGCCTGTAGGCTGCTGGGAAAATCAAGGGGAAAATATAGGAGTGGTCAAGTGTGAGAATGGAAGTTGTACCTTTGCTGAAAGAGGGAGGTGGAGGAATTTTTTGAGTGATTTCAATATAGTTACCTTTAGTGATAACCACATATACAAGAAAACAGTTCCAACAAGTTTTTAGCATTTATAATGTATCCATTCATTCCAAACTTTATTGAACACCAATTATGTACCAGGGGTTAGGATTCTTTGTATCATTTTAAACATGGTGGTTTAGGCAGCAAGGACTGATTCCAAAACCTGTGTAACTTTGGGCATACTCTGGAAGATGAGTGAGTGATGTGGGACTCGAGTTGCTCATGTCCACTAAGTACCTAGTAAATGCTTCCCAGGGAGAAGGTGGAATGCTCAGGGTCTTTCTGACTTGAGGGAGCTGATAGTCAATGTTTGTGGCTTCTGGTTGAACATTCTCAGCCACAGTCTGGTGTCCATTCTGTATTTTCATACAGGAACAAGAATGGGAGAGTGGAAGTGAGGCTGAGGGGGACAGCTGGTACCCCACGAACATGGAGGAGCTGGTTACAGTGGATGAGGTAGGAGAAGAAGAAGACTTCATCATGGAACCAGACATCCTGGAGTTGGAAGAAATTATGCCCATTGCCCAGAAAGACAAAATCTGCCCTGAAATGTGCCCCTGTGTGGCAGCCACCTTAGATTTGGACTTGGCCAAGGATTTCACCAAGGAAGGAGAGACCATAGGGAACGGGGCTGCAGAAATCAGCTTCAAGCTGCCCCGGCAACTGCCTTCTGCTTCCACGCGCTGCCCCAATGACACGGACGTGGAGATGCCTGGCCTAAATCTGGATGCTGAGCGGAAGCCAGCTGAATGCGAGACAGGCCTCTCACTGGAGGACTCAGATTGCTACGAGAAGGAGGCAAGAGGAGCAGAGAGCTCAGATGTGCGTCTGGCCCCCACAGCCCAGCAAATGTCTTCCCCCCAGCCAGCAGACGAGAGGGCCGGGCAGTCTAGCCCCTTTCTCGATGACTGCAAGGCCAGGGGGACCCCAGAAGATGGGGCTCATGAAGTCAGCCCCTTGGAAGAGAAAGCCAGCCTCCCCCCTGAAAGCGACTTCCAAGGCCAGGCTTGCCAAGGCGTGTTGACCGAGGGTAACTATCTTCCCTTTCCTCATGGGTGGCTGGGCAGATTGGACCACTGCTCCCTTCCAGACGTTAGGGCATGTGCAGGCTGGAACAGACAGAGATGTGAGCTTTCAACTTACCTTAAAACCAAGACGGAAAGTCATGTACTAACAGAAGCAAGCTTCTAAAGGCCTGGTTAAACTGTTAGAGCTTTTAGGCAAATGGTATATAAGAAATCAGATAGGAGGCTACCTGTGTTCAGAGACGCAAACTCGGGCTAGATTTTTCTGTTTATGGGCACCCATGTGGGCATGGGCAACTAAGATCAGGTTGAGTTTTCAGCAAAGGGAACTTGGATTCTTTGGGACCAGCTGGCTGCCCATTCCTGCACAGTGGAGACCCCTTGGCTGTTATTTCTGTGGTGGGAGAGGGAGTGTGGAGTGAGAGGCACTCATGGGGAGGGAACAGGTCTTCCTAAAGGATTTGGCTTGTTCCCCTTCTTACTATCTCAGACCTGTTTTTCTCCGATGTCTGCTAGTGATACAGGATCTGTCCCAGAAACAACTCCGCCTCTACCGGAGGTGATGTTGTGTCTATGCTTGGCACTATGACATCATGAACTAGGGAGTCTAAAATAGGCAAAAGCCCTGGCTTCTCTGCCAAATGGAAACAGATCCATCCAAGACTCTTGAGGGGTAGAGGGAGGGAGAGCAGCCCTTAAGACTCTCGTAGTGGAAGTAACTAAAGATTCGTTTTATAGAAAGCTCGTGGCATCACCCAGGCTGAAGTAAGACTCAGGGGTCCGAAAATATAGAGGAAAGGCTGAAAAATAAGCATTTCAACCCAGAGCCTTGTGGGTGGCATGAGCTGGTGGGTGACCCGGAGGATTGGGCTTTCCTCCATGTCAAGCTGACCCGAGCTGTTTTTCACCTGCCGGGATCTGAGTCTCCATGGAAACTCTGCCTTGATCAGCCAGCTTGTTGCTAGAGAAACGAAGAGGCCTAGAGCAGGCATAAATAAAGAAGCACTGACATTTCCACCTCGCTCTAAGGGAACCCCTTTTATTTTGTCCTACAGGTCTCAACACGTGCTGGTCTTGGTGGTTTATTAGCTTACCCAGTATTTGGAGTTCATATTTAACAGCACTGTTCACAAGCCTGGGGTGAGAGTGGTTCTGCCTTTTTGGCCAGTCTTGGTAGATGTCAGCACAATTTCTGCCTTTCAAAAATTCTTCTGCTTATAGAGATGGAGCGATTCTGATTTGGGGATAGTGGAGAGTAGTTCATTCCAACTGAAGGCATCCCCCCTCCTCCCTGGCAAATGCAAAGATGTGCCAAGTTTTATTGCATTTTTTGGCAGTGGAAAATAATCTTAATTATAGTGCTTTGGTTCTAATTAGCAGGCCTAGCCCCAGCCTCATGTGATTAAGCAGTCCAAGGGACAATTCCCAATCACACAGTGCAGGGAATAGAATTACGGCGACTCTTTGAGTCCTGCTGTGCTTCATTAGGGACCCCTCCTCTCCCCCGTTCTATGTTTTGCAGAAAACACCAGGTACATGGAAATGAAATCTCTGGATGTGAGATCACCAGAATTCACCGAAGCAGAGCTGAAAGAGCCCCTTTCTTTGCCTTCCTGGGAACCAGAGGATGTGTTCAGTGAACTTAGCATTCCTCTAGGTAGGTAAAATATACACTCCTTTCTGAACTTCAGCTCCAGGAAGTGACAGTTCTAAAGCAACTTTGAGGGGCTCTAGAGGGTTTTTTGTCATTGTTTTTAATGTGCGATGGCAATAACCTATATTTGCAAGATAGTAAAGTCACTTTAATTTCAGGCTCAGTGGGAGACCTGACACCCATGGGACCAAACCTTGAACAGCACAGCAGTGAGACCCAGAAGCCTGTTTACTCCATCAGGGAATGCTTTGTTCTTGACCATACAGAGACAAGTCCAGGCAGGAAAACAGAGGTCCAGAGACCTCCATATAGTCAATTGAAATGAATGTCCTCTGGTATCTTCCCTCCTTTCCTTGTCCCGTGTTGTCCCAAAACTACACTACTTTTTTTTTTTTTTTTCTCCTTTAAAGACCTTCTCTGAGGCATGAGTACCACTGAATAGACTGGAGCAGACAGAGTTGATCAAGGGAGCATGGAACACAGCAAGACTCAGACCCATTCATTTATGGTCACTCTCGTGTCCTCAGATGAGTCTTGCCCTCCTGAGCCTTAGTCTCCTCATCTGTAACGGAGTTGGACCAGTCTGTGGGTTTTCAATGATAAATTAGGGGGGATGGGCTGGAGAGCCAGTTCAGCAGTTAAGAGCACTGGCTGCTCTTGCAGGGGACCTGGGTTTAGTTCCCAGCACCCACATGGCAGCTAACAACCACCTGTAACCCCAGTTCCAGGGGAATCCAGCACCCTCTTCTGACTTCCACAGGCATTGCATGACACGGGTGCACTTACATACATGCAGGAAATAAACTCATACACATAAAATAAAAATAATAAATAAAAAAAATTTTTTTTAAGGCAATGGGAAAGGTTACACTAATAGAAGCACCTACACAGAGATCCTTCATCAGGAAATAAACTCATACACATAAAATAAAAATAATAAATAAAAAAAAATTTTTTTAAAGGCAATGGGAAAGGTTACACTAATAGAAGCACCTACACAGAGATCCTTCATCCCTCTTATGGAACCAAAAGGTCACCATTTTGGCTAAGACGGGATCTGCCATTTTAAGCTCTTGGGATCTGCCTGTCTCTGCCCACCAATGCTGGGCTCTCAGGCATGTACAACCATTCCTGGCTTTTTCCATGAGTTCCAGGAATTCAAACTGAAGTCCTGGTGTCTGCAAAGTAAGAGTTCTTTACCATTGATCCCTCTTCCCAGCCCCCTCATACAAATATTTTTAAAAGCAAAAGGCAGACAGATCCTTTGAATCACGATGCTCTTAGGCACTTTAACTCTGGATACTAATGTTGCAAAACCTGTCTCTCTGAAGCTACAGTTTATTCATGCATGGAGACACTTGGCAAACACTTACTGGGTCATGGGGCACTGTGCTGTGCACCCTGGGGGCACTGAGAGAGTAATAAGTCTCAAACCAGTCAGGAACTTGGAATCTAATTGACACAAAAAATAAGAGTGAATCCTAGTTTCTGACACATTGTCTTTCCAGTACTGTTTTTCATTCCAGAAAATGCATAAGCTTATTATAACAAATTAAAAAATAAGACCCAGATAAGGTCGGCATTGAAGGTCTTATCTTGTCCCTCCCCGGTCTCAGAGGTGGCCACTGTCAGGTCCACAGCTGTCTTCTCCCACAAAAATAGGACCACAGTGTATGCATCATGTTCTGTGTTTCTCATAACCAGATCTTTTCATGTCAGTAAACAGAGAACACTTTATTTTAAAGCACTGAAAATATTCCATCATAAAATCTGCACCAAAGAATTGCTGAACCTTTTCTCTGCTGGTGAACACTTAGGTGGTTTCCTGTTTGTTGTTTTTCCGTTGTGAAAATGTGGTAACATCTAAGCTCTTATTTATTGTTCTCACTCACCATGCAGTATTCCTAGGGCTTTGCATATATTAATTCATTAACACTCCCAAAACACTGATGAGACAGGTGGTATTTTTTAATCCCTATTTTACAGATAAGAAATCTGAGATGAAGAGTTACAGAGCTTCTGATTGGGAAAGACTGGGACTCAAATTCTAGTAGTGTACTCTTACCCCTGTCCCCTGCTGCAGTCCAGATGTGCTTGTTTGGTTCCTTTTGTGTGCATGCCAGCATTTCTTTGAAACAGGATGCTAGCCAGGCGGGGGAGCCTTGTGGGGGCTGTATACATTTGCATTTAAAACTTTTATAATTGCTACTAAATTGCACTTTAAAAAGAGGATAGCAACTTTCAGTGCTACCTTGAGGGAGAGTTCCCATTCCCTGCCTCTTTGCCAACTTTGGATATCAGTTTTTAATCTTTGCCAACCTGTTAGGAGGAAAATGGTATCTCATTTTGTTTTTTTGAACAACTGCATTGAAGTATAATTGGCATACAATGAAGTACACATAAAGGGTGCAATTTGATCCATTTTGGCATATGTATGTACCTGTACTGCGTTGTGGATTGGATATAGCACATTCTAGATTTTCATCTACCTGGTGATGGACATTTGTGTTGTTTCCAGAATGGGCTATTACAGATCATCTTCAGTTAGCTTAGAAAGCCATTAGCTTATTGGTCTCCATACTCCCACCCCCAGGAAGGTATAGTACTGTCTTCTCTGATTGACAGGTGAGCAGACTAAAGTCCAGAGGCATTCTCAAGAATACACATCAGGTTCAGGAACTTGGGCTGTCTGCTCTCTCACCACCCTGCTATCTCCTTTCACTATTTCTGTGGGAAGTTAAGAGCACGGACTCTGGCCTCTTATACCTGAGTTCAAATCTCATCTCTGTTACATGATGGCTGGGTTACAAATAGCAACCTCTCTAACCTCTCTGCTTGGAGTTCTGCATCCATGAATGTGGAGAAGTCATAGAGGCCACCCAGCCTACCATGTAGACCTATGTTGAAGTGGAAATGAACAAATATACGTAAGGTCTCGGTGCCTTCTAGTAGCAGGAACTTAGGGATGACTGAAGGGTTGTTTTGGTGTTACTGTTCATTCCAGAATTGAGACTTACTGTTGGGCTGCAAACCCTTTACCCTCCAGGGCTGATCGCTACTGCAGAGAGATTTCCAGAAACATGAAAGGCACAGTCAAGTCACTGTGGAGAGCACAGTGGTGAATTACAGGATGCCAAGGATTGGGCACCCTATTGGGAGAAAAGGGCGTTTAGCCCTGCTGTCAGGGAGTGGGGGAGTCGGGGCATTCATGGTTAGAGGACGGCACTGGGCACTGCTTGTGTGATTCCAGCCAGTTCTGCATGACCCCAGACAATGTAAGCCTGCCAAGGCCTGCTCTTTCCAGAACCAAATAGCATTGCTGGCAAAAAGTGAGCCTCCCCCTCTCTCCACCCCAAGCTTTGCTAGTATGACACAGTCATAATTACCCATGCCAGGAGCTATTATTAGGAGGCAAAAGCAGCTTTAATGATGGTACTTAATCGAGGCTGAGGAAATGGAGGACTCAGTGGCTGCTGAGCTTGCTGAGGCTGTGGCCGTGTTGCTCAGCACTGCCGTTTTAGATCCTCACATTCAGGCTTCCTGAGGCAGTGGTAGTGAACTCGATGTTGTCTGCACAGCCTCTGGGTTTTTCTGTGGTGGGCTTCCATTCCTTTAGGGATCATATGCCCCCCCCCACACACTTCACTTCTCTTTCTCCATTGCTATCTTTTGATTCCTGGAATGACCCAACCCTCTGAGCAGGGCCTGGGAAGAAAGTTACTGCTTGCTGAATTGTGGAGCTGGTTCTCTGGGCAGCCTTGATGAAAGGCTGGAGAGTGGGTGGGAAGGCCAGCATTTAGACAGTTGTTTTCTGTGAAGATATATTGGAAGAAGTGTTCTCAAACTAATATTTTTCTGAGCACCAGGCAAAACTACAGACAGGTGCTTCCTTACAACACCATCCATGGTATTGGTATTATTCTTCATATTTTACAGATGAGAAAACTAATTTCAGAAAGGTTTGATAATGTCCCTGAGGTCACACAGCTTAAATAAAATGGCTAGGCCTCTCTGACTCTAAATGCCATTTTCTTTCCATTACTACTATGGCTTTGGCTTCCAAGCTTTCTTTTTTTTTTTTTTTTTTTTTGCTTGGCTTTTGGTGGTGCAGTGTCATACCCAACCCCACAGATGGTAGCTGTACTTCTCTGGTTGAAAAGGGCCATGGCTGCCCTCTCTGCCTCCTGCCTCAGGCTCTGTGAATTCCCCTGAGGCAGCTATACCCCTTCTGGTGATCCCAGGACAGGGACTGAGAGGCTATAGCCTGGACACCAGTGGCATCCCCAGGGCTCTGTACCTCCCAGGTGGCCTACCCCGTAGGGTCTGGGACAGGATAGGACAGCAGACTCTGATCAGAGCTCTTTCCCAGCAGCTTTGTGTAGCTTTGAGCCCCTGTGGAGTAGTAGCCAGCACAAAACTGTCTCACAACAGCAGAAAAAGGAGGTGGTAGGCTTTGCTTACTGCCCCTTACTCAGCTGCATCCTGGAGCCCATTTGTGAGGTGGAGGAGAAAACTGGACAGTCCCCCTACAGCCCCCTCCCCGACTAGCCATGTGTTTATCCTTTGCCCTGAGCTTGGGAGAAACGAGAAGGGAAAGACATTGAGCCCCCTTTGGGCAGCTGGACTGAGTGACACCCTCCCACTTCTGGGGACTGCTGCAGGCTACTGAGGCTTGGCAGGCAGACAGGTAGGCAGCAGTTAGAGAAAATCCAGGTCCCAAACGCTGACCTGGCAAGCTGTAGAGTGGGCTCCCTCTCTTCTCCTGTCCTCCCTCCAAGCTGCCTCTACACACCAACAAGTAACTTCTATTGAGGTGGGAAAAAAAAAGTTCTAATTACAAGTTTAGGCTGTGTCTCATGACAGTGTCTGCTGTGTACTAAGCACCAAGTGAAGGAAGAGGAGGAGCCAGGCTGTGGTGAGGAGGCCAGCCCAGGCCTTGCCATCTTCTTCCCTGGGAGAAGTAACCATATCCCCTTTCTCTTGTCTGCACAGTGTGGCCAGATATCCCAGCACTGCCACCTTCAGCACAGGACAGGGGAGCAGCCCCACCTGGCTGCTGTGTTCTGCTCATACTTGGGGAAAGTTTCCCATCTAGCAAGTAGAACCTGGGCCCCTCAGGCTTAGTGCCTTGGGTGTAGTTCCATGGAGGACCTACTTTGCACAGCCCTAACACCCTGCTCTCTCTATGGAGTGCCACCATCAGACCCTATGAGCTGGGCATGAGTGCATCTTACTCCCATTTTCTGCTGAGGAAATGAAGCCCAGGAGTGGATCAGGTTTATGTGGGTTCCTAGCATCTGGACTGGACCCTTCTGATCTGGGCTCTTCCACTTGGAGGACTATTTCTTCAGGAGGAGAAGTGACTCAGGAACACCTTCCTGGAGGCTGGCCCAGCCACCACCACTTCAAAGATGAGTCGACTGCCTGTAGTATTATCACTTCCTGAGGGCTGGGCACCCATTGTTTCTTGCTTTTATAATCATAAGTCCCCCTCCCCAAATTCTGGAATGTATATTTAATAAATCATCAATTGATGATGAGATATAAAAAGTGAAGAAAGATAGGAGATGTTTATGATATACCGTGTGAAAAAGAGAAGATAGAAAATCGCATTTAGGGTATAATTAAAACTGCCCTGAAACAGCTGGGCATGGTGGCACATGTCTGTAATCCCAACACTCAGGAGGCAGAGGTAGGTGGATCTTTGTGAGTTCGAGGACAGCCTGGTTTACATAGCAAGTTGAGGCCAGCCAGGGCTATAAAATAAGACTTTGTCTCAAAACAAACAAAACAATGACAACAACAAAGCCCTCCCCAGAGTCCTACATATCAATAAATAACATGGCAAGAAATACTTTGCTATCTTTTACTTATTTTCAGATTTTTCTTTAATTAAAATGATCCTAAAAGGGCTGGAGAGATGGCTCAGTGGTTAAGACAACTGGCTACTCTTGCAGAAGACCCAGGTTTGAATCCTAACACCCACATGGTAGCTAACAACTGTCCGTAACTCCAGTTCCGGGGGATCCAACACCCTCTTCTGTCCTCTGCGGGCATTGCACTACACAGGTGCACTTGCATACATGCATGCGATACACACATACACATAAAAGAAAAATGAAAAGAAAAAAATAAAGTTTTGAAAACAAAAAATCCAAAATACAGTGAATTCTTCCAGAATTTTGGTCACAAAGGCAGAGACATGTAGAGGTGAAATCCTAAGAAATCTCAGAAGCCTCCTCCTTTCTCCTTTCCCCAGGAGCAGGTTGACTGAGGAAGACTTCACCCAGATTCCCAAAGGCAGGACACAGAGCGTATAATTGCCAAGTGCCCTCCACCCAGCATTCACAACCACCTGTGAATGAAGAAGGCACTTTCTTTTGTGACTGTGTTGTAAATGTGACTGAGGTCAGAGTTGGAGGAGCTAGGTAACCACTAAAGTCAGCAGTAAATGAGGGATGGAGCTCTTGCTCTTCTTTTGAGCCCCTGCAACTTGCAAGACCACAGGGGCCTTCCACTACTTTTCTAAGGCTGCTCTCCATTCCCCACCCTTCCCTAGGAGTGGAGTTCGTGGTTCCCAGGACTGGCTTTTATTGTAAGCTGTGTGGCCTGTTCTACACAAGTGAGGAGGCAGCGAAGGTGAGCCACTGTCGCAGTGCTGTCCACTACAGGAACTTACAGGTAACGCTCTACCTTCCTTGATGCACAGCCTTTGGGGTTTCCCAATCTTCATGTACAGGCCAGGCACTCCGAGTCTTAGGCCTCTCTTGCCTCTGACTTGAACTCCCATCTTCAAGGCCAGGCATAGTGATTTGCCATTCCCTAAGCATACCCTTTAGATACATCCTCTCTAAGATGATACCTCCTCCCACCATGTAGAGAATACCTGCCTCTACCAGGCTACTCCACAACATGGCTATAGCCCATGGGTGCCCAGAGCATCATGTCTACTTTAACACTTACAACATACTCTTGGGTAGCTTTTTAAACATCTGCCTCCCTAGCCACACTGAGCATAACTTGGGGTATGCTGGTATTTTCCTGACACATGGCACAGCTAATCCCTTCCTACCAGGACTGTTACAATGCAGATGTTTCCTTTTCTCTTCCTCCATGTAGGTAATATTTTGGAATGAAAACCACAGTTTTGTCCCATTTAAATGTTCAGACAGCAAATAATATCTCAGAAGCTCATACACCCAACACTGTTCTAGGCACTGGGTACAGCAGCAACAAATACAGGGAAAGCTCTGTCCTTATAGAGCTTCCAGCCTAATGTAGAAGACCAACAATAAATCAAAAAACTAAGTAATATGCTATAGTAAAACACCATATATAAAAATATACCATATGGGCTGAAGAGATGGCTCGGTGGTTAAGAGCACTGGCTGCTCTTACAGAGGACCTGGGTTCAAATCCAAGTACCCACACAGAGGCTAACAACCATCTGTAACTCAAGTTCCAGGGGACCCAATTCCCTCTTCTGACCTCCACTGGCATTGCACAATATTAGTGCACTTGACATACATGTAAGCAATACACTCATACACATAAAATAAAAATAATAAAATATTAAAAAATACATATTACATACTAGATTCGTACAATCTAAGATGCCATTATTTGTAAAGCACCATTTTCACTTGTTCTTCAACACGTGGGAGATTGAACCCAGAACCTCAAGTATATTGAGCACATATTCTGCCTCTGAGCCACATCCCTAGCCCAGTACATTATTTTTTAATACCAACTAGATAAAGCAATGCTGCAAATTAAACAATGAGACTCCATCAGTTGTTAAATGCATTTTTTAATCTCAGAGATGTTAATGCATTTTTCAAAGTATCTTAAAATCAATGAGCAATACTAATGCATTCTATAATGTATACCTACCAAATATATAGTTTATTATAATGTAAATGCCATTCTCATGATTAGCTTCTGGTACAGGGTTGGCTTTACAGGCATTTACAGGCATTTACAGGCATTTACAGGCATTTACATGTTCTGGAATGAGCCTCTCGAGGCAGCTAAATTTTCACTATAAGGATCAGAGTTGAGGGGTAGGGAGATGGCTCAGTTGGTAAAGTGCTTGCCACAGAAGCATGAAGACCTGAGTTTGGATCTCTAGCACTCACAGAAAAGCTGGGCATGATGGTGCATGCCTATCATCCCAGTACTGGTGAAACAGAGACAGGAGGCTCTCTGGAGCTTGCTGGCTAGCCAGTCTTGCCAAATTGGTGAGCACCAGGTTCAGAGAGATAATTGTCTCAAAAAATAAGGTGGAAAGTGATGAAGACATCTAATGTCAATCTCCAGCTTACATACATGCATACTTGCACACACACACACACACACACACACACACACACACACACACACACACACACAAAAAAAAAACAGAAAATTTTAAAATGATAAAGAGAGTTTAATCCACAGGGCTCAAATCATGAAATGCCCAGGGTATCTTTGCCCTGGTTCCAGGTCAGGCATTCCTGGAATTTACAGTTAAATCTTTTAGAGTGGCTGATTTTTTTTTTTTTATTTTTTTTTTTTTTTTTTTTTTTTTTTTAATTTTGTATGTGGGGCGGTCAGAGGACAAATTGCAGGAATTCATTCTCACTTTCTACCATATGGGTTCCAGGGACTGAACTCAGGCTTGGAGGCACTCATCCTTACTCATGAGTCATCTGGTGACCCTGAGCTAATGGTTCTTAACCAGGAATATGAAGTAGAATTTTGACGTATATGTACTAGGTGACATATTTAGTAGAGTAGTAGCATGTAATTTGAGAAAGTTCTTGGGATGCTTATAAAATGTGCACATCTAATTAAGAAGTTTGGATTTGTTTTGCAATTGAGGAAACAGAAGCTCAAGGAAAAGCTATAGGATCTATTCAAGGCCATGCAGATAGTAAGTAACTGGATTTAGGATTAGATCACTTGATTCTTAACCATTTGTTTCTTTTTACTTTACTAAGCTTGTCTTAGAAACTGAGACCTGTAATTTCCTGGCCCAGTCACTATTTGTAAAAGACTGTCACTAGCTGTGCCCAAACACAGGTCATTTAAGCCTCTTAATTTCCCTCCAGAGAGCAGCTGCTCTGTGACCTGACCTGGCAGCCATAGTCCTTTCTCTCCTGGAGGGCAGAAGGAGGTGGGGTGGGGGAATGAAGCATGGCATGGCCAGAGCAGGGGATTCAGACTGGTCTCTACAGAGGCAGCTGAGGATAGTCATCTAGCCCAAAGACCTCATCATTCTGCCCAGACCTGGACAGTAAGTAGTAAGCTGGAAGGGTTGTGGAGACATTCTGGTACTGATTTTCCAAACCATGCACATTGCTTACTCTTTCTAGTAAAGGCCCAGAATCTTCATTTTAAAATTTTAACAGCACTAAAGAACAAACTCAGGACTTCGTGCATATTAGGCAAAGACTCTATACCACTAAGCCACATACCAAACCCAATAAAGTACATTTTAAACAATCTTTCCAGTAACTTCTGATGTTTCAATGTGAAACTCTTTGATCTTTTCTCAGTAGAATTGTACAGCCCCTAAAGAGACCACAGAGTTCAAGTTCACTACCACTCAAAGAGTTATGAAGAATACAGGGCCTACCTTTTTTCCAGGCAGCGGCCTTCACTGTTTTTAGGGCCTCTAGGGCCAAACCCCGGGTGGCATCCCATTCCTACAGCAGGCCAGTGACATGCCTGTGGTCCCCAGACACATCGGGTGTAGACATTGCCTCAGCCCTTCACGCTGGCCAACCTCAGCTCAAGCTTCCCTGGCACATCTGTCAGGGAGCCAGGAGCCTCTGTCACAGCCTTCTCAGATAGGGTTTCTGTCAGTGGCCTTGACAGAATGTCTCCGTCCCTATAGCCTCACTTCACCCACTCCACTGCAAACTGCACAACTTGTGAAAACTGAAGAATTCAGACCCACACAGATGGTGCTGGCTGCCTCTTCAGTCAGGCAACTTGTAAAATTATCACTCAGCAGGAGGCCTTGAGTGGGGGTTGGGGATGCCCTGGGAGGCAGGAGCAGGTGGAAGGTGCCTGTATACAGCTTCCAGAAATCCCTGCTGTGCCATGGCGCTATGAAAACCCACTGGGAGTGATCTGGAGCAGCAAGTGTAGGCTGGACTAGACAGGAAAGTGGACACTGCTGGCTGCAAGCCTCAGGGAAGAGTGCACATACAGGCAAGACACTCATCTACTCAGGTTCCTGAGCCAGGCAGGGGAGAAACCTGGGCTTTCGGCAGCAGCCTCAGCCACAGGTGTCCACTGAGGGCCCTTCTCCCAGTCAATCTGTACCCACTTCTGAAAGCCAGTCTCCTCCCAGAAGGAGGGCGAGGAAGACGCTATTGCTCCCATTTAACAGAGTAGAAGTCTGGGGCCAGGAGAGGTGAGGGACGTCCCCCAAGCCCCACTGCTGGCCCAGCTCAGGTGAAAGCTTGATATTCCTAAAATTTACTCTGTGCTGGGCACTGTGATAAATGCTTTGTGTGGTGTCTTGTCAGCTTATAGCCCCCAGCCCTCCCTGTGCAGGGTTGTCATGGTTACAATTACTTTACAGTCAGGGACATTTAGTCACTTGCCTGTGGAGAGCTAAAATTTGATCTGATATGGTTGAGCCTGCATACTTAACCCCTGTACTGGACCTGATCCTTCTGACTCCTTACCTGCTGCTGTTTATAAAGTCCTTGCTGTCCCAACAGAGTCAGACCACTCCTGTTGGGGCCCCAGACCATTCCACATCCTAACTACAGCACTGGACCCAGGCATTTTAAAGGCATCCCCAGCTGGCTAATGAGCCATGGCCAGTCACAGCCCTGAGCGCTTCTGGAGTTGTGCGGGCAGCCCCCAACTAGAAAGTAGACATACTGTTTTCAACCCACCGAGGGACCACTAAACTCCACCCCCATAGCCTGAAGCTATAGGAAACAGTTGTCTCTGGGCTTCTGCCCCTCACCCACGTTCCCTCCTTCTGCTTTTTATGTGTGGACATTGCTGCTTTTTCTGGAAAATAGGCAGCACTATCACAAGGATTGAGTTTATGTAAGCCAGAGAGTTAGTAAGTATTTGGCACCACAGAAGGGCTGGGGGTGGTTGCGATGGTTGGTATCTGTACTCTCTACTTTTCCTACAAGAGATTCACATTGTTTGTAAACTAACATAAGGGGGTTCTCTCACCACAAGATACACTGGTGACAGGAGAGGTAGCTGCCATTGGTCACAGGTGTTAGAAAAGGGGACCTAGGCACACACCTGCAAACCCACACCCTGACATCTCCCTGCCTCTGTTGTCCCTCTCTCCGCCACAGAAGTACTTATCCCAGCTGGCAGAGGAGGGCCTGAAGGAGACAGAGAGGGCAGGAAGTCCAAGCCCTGAAGACAGCGGAATCGTGCCACACTTTGAAAGGAAAAAGCTTTGATGCTGTTGTTGCCACCACCACTGTTTCTGGAAGATGGACGGGAAGCCGGCTGAAGTGGGGCCAGCCTGGCCACAGGGACAGGACTGAGACCAGAGAGGAAGGAGAGCGGGCAGGACATGGTGCTTGGGCTTGTTCCCAGAGACTCATCAAAACACCCCTGTGTCTCTGGGGAGCTGCCAGCTCTCCTTTGTGGGTCCAGCCCACCAAGGTGACCAGCTCCCTGTGGGCTCCTGTTTCTCCCCCGCAGTCTTTCAGTTTGCTCTTTCTTCCTCTCACCTCTCCCTTCTGTGCCAAGGTTATTTTCCTGTCCATAAAATCCAACTTCTCAGGGATTGCTACTGTGCTTAAAGTGTTGATAGGTTATAGCAGGTCAGATGAGGCTGAGTCATACAAGGAAAAGTTTTAACAGAAGCCCTTGAATGTGGACAGCCACTTCAGTGAATCTGCAGCGCTCTTACAACCTGTCCTTCTGTGTGCCCAAGGATGGGGGAGCCGAGTCGGGTTCTGTAGTCCTGAGGGAAGACACCAAAGAATCGGGTGGCAGAGATGTGAGTGACTTCATTAAGGCTTCCTCCAGCTTGGTCATTTTGAAAAGGCCCTGTTTTTCTTTTCTTGGCTAGTGCTGGGAATTGAACCCAGAACCTTGCACATTCTAAACAGGCTCTCTACTGCTGAGCTACATGCCCAGCCAAAAATCTCTCAGATTTGTTTTGTTTTGAGGCAGAGTCTCCTGTGATCCAGGGATTGCCCTGAGTTTGTTAAGAAACCAAGGGTGACCTTGAACTTCTGATCTTCCTGCCTCTACCTCTCCAGTGCTGAGATTACAGGTGTTGTGGTGCTGTGGATCAAACCAAGAGGTGCATGCATCAGAGGCAAGCACTTTACCAACTGAGCAATGTGTCCAGCCCTAAAGTCCCTGTTTTCAAGAACTCATGCTTCCTCAGTTATTTTAGAAATCCATGAGGTTGATGCCTTAAAGTAAAATCATATTAATTTGGTGTGGAAAAGAAGAGCCCTCCATTGTGGGAGTTCTGATAGAGTCCATCCAAACTTGCTTCCTTCTTGATTTCAGGAAGTGTCAGGAGTTATTCTTTGTAGGACAGTAACTTCGTTATAAATTCACTTTAACTGAAATTGAAGCTAATGTCTTTCCCTATAGCTAAAGCAGCAGTTGCTGTGGGCCCACGGCACATACTGATAACTGCAGTGCACAGCACTGGCCTGACTCAGTATCAAGGAATTGGCATCTGACCTTGACTCACCCCTTGGTGCTTCTACTTTTGGCTCCAACTGACCTTGTATTAGAATGATTTCAAAATTAACCCTCAGTAGGGGAGAAGTTAAAACATTTGCTTGCTGGGTATTTGTAGGTAGTCAGATGGAGGGACTGCTTGGGGTTCATCACATATGCCAACTTTGTCAATATGTGAGAAAGAACGGAGCCCTTATTCCCAATGGGATCAGCACCTCCAGACCCCCCATGCAGGGTCTCATGGAAGGGTTTGAGATAAAGGTGTTAGAAGAAATGAGCTCTGCCAGAGCCATTGAGTGGATCTCAAAAAGGTCAGAGGGAGCCTGGTGCTGCCTTCATGAGTAGAGGTGCCTTCCTGAAGACACCCTCCATGCCATGGCCTGTGATAACTGAAGGAATATGGATGGCTAGTCCGTGTGAGTTGCCTGTTGTTTATTCCCCCAAGTGCAATTGGGTAGACATGCACAGGGATCATGTGGGGTTTTTTTTTTTTTTCAATCTTATACTGGAATTCTGTACTCGACACAAATAGAAGGACAAAAAAATGATCTAGTTCAACACTAATATTAGTTTTATGAGAGAGGAAACTGAGGCACTGAAAGAAAACAAACGTAGAACCTTGAGACCTGCAGTCCCTGGCCAGGAGAGAAATGTTGGGAACCTGTGAGAGAGAAGAGTTAAGGTAAAGAGAGGAGGAAAGGCCAGTCTGGACAGGAGCGGTGAGAAGTTAGAGCTTTCAGGAAAGCTGGCTGTATCCAAAGAGAAAAGACTAAAGATTGCTGGGTGTAGTGGCACGCCTTTAATCCCAGCACTTGGGAGGCGGGCAGATCTCTCTGAGATTGAGGTCAGCCTGGTCTACATAGTGAGTTCCAGGCCAGTTGTTGCTACAGGGAACCCCTGTCTCAAAAAGATCAAAAAAAAAAAAAAAAAAACAAAAAACCCAAAAAACTAAAGATTATGGCTCAGCCCCTGTTGTTCCCCTGGAGGATTCTACAGGTTTTAACCCAGCATTCTGGTCACCAGCTAAGCTTTTCCTATTTCTTAGAAAACCTCAAACTCCTGAGAACAGCTGATAGCCACCTCCCTGAATTCATCTGCACCTCCATCTGAAGCTAGACATTTTATCCTCCAACAAACTGGAGGCAGACCTCACCAAGTCTGCCAGCCCCTATCCCAGTAGTGTTTCTATGGAAATCCATGTGGCCCAGTCAACTTATAAAATGACCTTCATGTGGGAAAGTGAGAGAGTTCCCTCAAGGCAGAGAGAAAAGACAGTCTACTTTCAATCAGAACCTTCCACTTAAAATCATTGGCGATTCTATACTTGTGTGTATATTTATTTATTTTTATATAATTTCATTGGCATGACCCTTCACTGACCCTACAATTTGCACTTTTTATTTCTATGTGCATCACACATAATACAGTATTAAAGGCAACCAGGAAAATATTGATTTCTTTTTTAAAGCTTTTATTTAGTGTTTTGTCAATTATTTTAAAATGTCTCTCCCTAAGGTTGCTCAAGAATAGTTATTACCTTGCACAAAAGATCCATTTGTATCCTGGGTTAATACAACGGGAGGCCTGTGTAATTTTATTCTCATTATTAACACCTGATTGTTCTCTAGGTAGTACTCTCAAGGAGTTTGATGAACTTAAATTTGGTATGAGCATCGACCATTAGATTTTGGTTTCCCATTGTTGGACAGTCCGAGGCGGTGATCTGTAAGATTATTCTTGAACTGGACCAGAGTTTGTTCTGTGAGTTTTTGAGAAAAACAAAACCACGTTAATTTAAGTTTGAACTTGTAAAGTATTAGAATTTTTTGAGTGTCTTATATAAACTGTCACCACTTTTCTGATCTGTATAACTGACCCTTTGCTAAACTGTTTGTTTTTACAAAAGGGGGAAGAAAAGGTTTTTAATAAAGAGAATTTGAAAGCTTATGAATGGCCATGTGTCATACAAATATCCTTCAACATCTGGTCAGAGGTTTTACAGAGCTAGTCTATGATTTGGTTGCTTTTTTACTTTCAAGTGTGTGTGTGTGTGTGTGTGTGTGTGTGTGTGTGTGTGTGTATGTATGTGTAGGGGCCAGACATTGATGCTAGGTGTCTTCCTCAAATGCTCTCCACCTTATTTTTTAAATATTTATTTATTATTTATTGTAGGGGCCTGTGCATGTCATGGTATATGTATGAAATTCAGGAGACAACTTTTATAAATTGGTTCTCTCCTTCAACTATGTGAGTCCTGGGAATTGAAATCAGGTCCTCAGGCTTGGCACAAGTATCTTTATCCTTGAATCATCTTGTTGGCCCTCCACCTTAGTTTTTGAGAAAAGATCTCTTGTTAGAGCTTGTCAATTTGTCTAGGCTGGTTGGCTAATGAGCTTTAAGGATCCACCCGTTTCTGCCCACCCCCTTTCCCAAGGACTGGAGTCACAGGCTTTTAAGTAAGTGCAGGGAATCCAAACTTGGGTCCTCATGTTTACTCAGCTGACACCTTACTAACTGCACCATTTCCAAAGCCCTCTAAGGTTTCAAAGTTTTGATCAGAGTTTACAAATCAACTTCCACTTAGGACTCTGATTAGGAGCCAGAGAGAGTCAGGTTCTTAGGGAGGATGCTCTGGGCTTCTCACAAACTCTTAACATTGCTACCCACAAACTTTTAACATTACTACTCCTTAATCTTTTAGTGACTAAACCCAGTTGTCTTAAACTAGGGTCTGGCCATTTTTGGTGGTGACAACAAAGATCTGACCATCAGTGGACATAGTTGTCCCAAGCACAGGCCTGGCTCTGCCATCCTTAGTTCTATCACTTCCTCTGGTTCATTTCCTTGGGCATAAAAGGGATTGATGATATTAATCACCTTCAGGGTAAGGTAATTGCTGGTGAGAGCATTTGTTATGCTGCAAGGCACCAAACCTCATTTGTTTTTGCAATCAGTGCTCTGTCTGTGCAACAACCTTCCACATTTCAGAAATTTGTTCTAGTAAAACAATGGTCAATCTCCTGGGCCCTGTTGGCCAGTGCTTCCAATGGCCTGTAACATTCTCTAGGCCCTTCACCTTTGTTGGCAGTGCTTCTGAGTCAGTGAGGATGGGATGGGCAACCTGGATCCAGATGGCTGAGTGGGGCCACCTATAATTACTGGAGCAGATTATGGATCTACAGAAAATTCCTGTTGAGCCTGTTGCTGCCCCACCTCCACCTCCATCCCCTGATAGCCAGCCTAGGGCTGAGCTCAGGCCTCTAGCTCTCAAGAAGGCTGAGGAAGGAATGTCTTTCCCTGCAGCTTCTGTGTATGCCCTAACCAAAGCCAGAATGAGGTAAAGCTTAGGGTCCAGGATGTCTGGGGTTTTCCAGTCCCCAGACCCAGCATGTTGCTGGATGTACACAGCTCTATAGAGAACCGTCTACATTGCACTCTATGGTGGAGGTCCAGGCTCCAGGGTTGTGCGGCATAGACACTCTCCTGAGACACCTCCCATCCAAGTTGGAGTTGCTCCCCCTTCCCTGGGTGTCCCCATCTGCTTTCTGATGTCCCACCAGTCTGGTTCTGAACTGGTTCCCTAACCTGGAGCCTTGCTATTCGGATCCCACCTTGTACCTACGCCTGCCTGGCCTGACTTGCATGACTTAGAGGCTGGGGTTGCTCTTCGCAGTGCCTCCTCAGTCAAGCCTCTTAGATACTGACTTTGGCCTCTGTCTGACCCAATACCTCTGTGTCCTTCAAATATCAATAGCAAGTGCTGATTGTCTACTTAGACAATCACGGGGATATCTAGGCTCACCCCATATAACTCCCAATTTCTTTTCTCACCATGATAGTCTTACAAACAGAATCCCAAGTATTTAAGAGTAGGATGCCCCCAGAAACCCTGAAATCTTAAAGGAGCATTCCCTTTCTTTCCTTTCTCTTCCTTTCCTTCACCTCTCCTCCCTTCCTCACTCTCTTCTCTCTCTCCCTCTCTCTCCCCCTTCTCCCTCCCTTCCTTCTCTCTCTCTTTCTCTGTCTCTCTCTCTGTCTCTTTCTCTGTCTCTGCCTCTCTCTCTCTCTCTCTCTCTCTCTCTCTCTCTGTGTGTCTCTCTCCTCTCCTCACTATGTTGCCCACTATGTTTGAACTCCTGAGCTCAAACAATCTTCCTACCTCAGTCTCCCAAGTTCTGGGACTCCAGCAACATGTCCCTGTATCCACTTTAGTTCTTTTTGCAAGAGAAACAGATGAGGAGAAGGGCCCAGAAAGGGGAAGTGGCTTGCCTAGGGCAACTCAGTTTAGACTCCAATCTCCTGGAATAGTACTCTTGGGGCCCCCAGAGTTCTATTGGATTATGTAGGGAATTTACCAGGTCTAGCCCTTGCTGTACATTGGCAGTGAACAAGAGATTGAAGACAGATGCCTGATCCCAGTTACTTGGAAGGCTTGCCAAAACTGCAGAGTTCAGTGCCTCCCGTTGAGGGGCTGGTCAAGGTCAAGCCTAGGCATTTACATTTTAGCAAGCCTCTGGGGCATTCAGTGCAGGTGGTGTCCACTGCCTCCATGACAACTAGGGACTTCCCCATCAGTTCCTAGCATAGAAGGGGCATTTATTTTACAGCCATGCACATAGGAGAGATGAATGGAGACCATTCAGAGTATGGGGGACTGTGGTGTATAAAGCATGCCAATGGGGGACAGAGGAAAGGAAACCAGCCTAGCCATGACAGATGAAGATGATGGGAGTTGGTGTGAGGGTGGTCAGGAGACAGGCATGAGACAGGGTTTGTTTAGTGAAATTCAGTTACTGGGCTTAGACAGAGTCAGTCTTCGGGGCTCCTTTTATAAATTTAATTTTCTAAACATGTATATTATATATTTCGATCATATTTGCCCCCACTTATTCTTCTCCCATTCCTTCCAAACTCCTTTTGGGTCTCTTTGTGTTAATGACAGCAGTGTCTGGTCCTTAGTGAGGTCCCTGAAGATCTGGTAAAGTCTGTCCCTGAGGACAGAACACTACAGAGCCAGTGATCCTGCTGAAATGAGAGACTGTAGTGACGGAGCAAGGCCGTGTTGCCCTGGGGTTCACAGGTACTTGCTCTCCTACCTTGTGTGATTCGCTACTAGGACCACATCAACCTGCTGATTCCTGAGTGTCATCCTGTGTGTACTCTGCTACTCTGCAGGGATGTTGTCCTCACAGCGATTCTTCCCATTCACAGCTCGGGAAAGTGAGGCTTTGGGAGACAAAGCAGTTTGCAAAGGCCAGAGAAGCCTTAAGCAAGAGACTTACTTTCTTGTCTTTTTTCTTTTTTCTCTCTTTCATTTTTCAAAGACAGGGCTTTTTTCGTTTTTAAATTTTTTTATTTTTTGAGAATTTCACACTTGAGTACTTACCTTATTCCCATCCATCCTTCTCCCTCCAACTCCTCCTATGTATCCCACTCCCTCTCAACTTCACAACTTCTTCCAATTTACACACACACACACACACACACACACACACACACCCCTACTGAGTCCATTCAGTGTTATTTATAGGTATGTGTTTAGGATTGACCACCTGGGATTCGATAACCTATCAGGGGACCTGTCCCTGGAGAAATCTGATTCTCTCTCTCAGCAGCCACTGACTGAGTGTAGCTGGTTCTTTCTGTGCACCCCAGGCTGTCCTTGAACTTGTGATCCTCCTACCTCAGCCTCCTGAGTGCTAGGATTACAGGCCTGCACCACCACACTGGGCTTCAAACCATTCTCTTAGCCGCTGTCTTCCCCTGCCTGTCTCAAAGCCTGGCTAACTTTTGTTCCTGAAGACTGTGAGCTCTGGTTATACCAAAAGCAGCGTAACTTAACTGTGCTCCAGGGGCTCATGACAAACATTCTCGTTTCTAACTCTAGAAAGCAATGACCCTAATACCTTCCCTTCCTAGAAAGTAGATTAAGAAAGGACCCCACCTTCAAGGGAAGGAAGAATGAAGGCTGAGGAGAGAGGAGCAAAACTGCGTATTTTCTCCCTCTCCCCACTCAAAAGATCTTGCCTGGGGACTTGTGTCTTGTAGTGGCAAGAGGGACAGGATGAGAGGAGAAGCCCCTAGGGCTGTTCAACTTCCTCCTGCTTCAGGTAGGGCAAGAAAGGGAAAGCACCTGTTCTCTGCTGCAGGGCCTGGGGGACTTCAGGCTATGACCAAAATGGCATTTCCTTTGGCCCCAGAATGCTAGCTAGTGCTTTGAATGTTTGACCTCCCCTTCCTCAGTGAAACTTAGTTATTTATTTACCTGCCACCCTTTTCCAACAAGGAGTTGAGATGATACAAAATATAGGCCAGTATGACCTGACTAAGCCAACAGAAACATTTTAAATGCTAA